TGTCAACGCGGTTTTTCGAGGTCCCAATCTCTCAAAAAATCCAAGACATCACGATGCTGCTCATTAGAGGCTATCTCCAGTCAAGCATTTCGCCACATTCGTTTTGTGCAAGAGACAATGCCTCATGAGGATCACCCGTCATCCTACGGGCCAGTGTACGTGTAATTGCACTAATATCTGGCCAAAACGCAAACTTGCCCGCTAGCATTGCTTCAGTGCTTCCTGATACCGGGCGTTATTACTGTTGAGGTCCTGTTGGTCCGTCTACACCATTATTCTGATGAAACAGAATGCCTCGTTCTAAAACACGTCAAAATACTGCTCGCAAATATGCCTGCAATGGAGCTCCTCGCTTTTGCCGCGACCGCACTGGCGAATGCGGATGTGCCAGAGGGTCTCGCCTTGGCTCGCCTCACAGCGCTTCGCAAACCGGATGGCGGTGCACGTGGCATCGCCACGTTTTGCACACGTGTTCGATGAGGCGACTCGATTGTTTCAATACCCGCTGCAGGCGAGAGCCGGCACGGATGCTCTGGCAGCGCATGTACGCACAGTCCTGGAACTGCGGGCCGACGCAGTCCTTGTGTCGCTCGATGGGCGGAGTGCCTACGACACCATGTCCCGAGCATCCTTCCTCACTGCTCTCCAGGCCGCCGCACCGGAATTGCTCCCCTTCGTGCGGTTTTTTTACGGACACCCGGCGCCGCCTGGACCTCGTCGTCTACGGAGCGACGCCTCTCGGCGGGGCCCTTTGCTGCGACGCCACACTCGTGTCGCCACTGACACGCGCAGGCTTGCCTCAGCGCCTTGCGGGTCGCCGAACACGGCAAGCGAGCTGCCTACCCGGAGCTGACCGGCGGCCCGCAACAACTCGTGGTGCTCGGGAGCATTCGGGAGCGATGTCGGCGGACGATGGAATGCCGGCGCGCGCCAGCCGTGCGAAGCGCCGTTGCGTCGGCATGGGCTAGGCGCTGGTGGGCCATGCTGTGTCGGTACAACACGCCGTCACGAGCACAGCCCTCGGGTGAGCTTGGCCGGCGCCTCTCCATGCGAGCCGCCTGCCGCTACGCGGCCCGTAGGGTAAACATATTAGACATGGGGTAGGAGGCTGCACCGAAGCTTGCGGCAGGCACCCGAGACTCATGCCAAGGGAAAAGGTCCGATAAAAAAAAAAACAACTAACCGCGCGGGCAATGCTCCTTCTCAAGCTCCATGGACTCCTTGCGCCTTCAGCCCCCACAATCTCGCAAGTTGATCGTGCGTTTTGCGGTGTAGCCCCATAATCAATCCATCGGGAAAATGCATCACGCATGCTCCAATCTGAGCACCCCGCTCTCCAGTTCAGACAGCGTAAGCACACCCAACAGACGGTGCAGGTTGGAGCTCTGTGAACGCCGTATGTTGCCGCCATAGCATGCCATGCTTCAGCAGCCGCAGGCGATCTACCCGCGGAACTTGTGGAAGAAAACAGGTGCGCGAAAAAACAAAAAAAATCTCGGTCCCGACGGGCAAACCATGGCATACCTCGATGATGCGTACATATTGGCCCCGCCCCACCGCGTGATGCAGCTCTACCACCGCTTAGAGGCTCATGCCCTGCGGCGTGCCCAGCTCCGACTCAACCCTGCCAAGACCCGCGCGTGGAATAGCGGAGCCGAACTCGCGCTCCTCGACTCACAGTCCGGCCCCTTTGCCGCCAGGTTGCTCACTGTCCGCCCTGTTGCACCTGAGCTCGCCCTCGACTCGGCGGTTTTCCGGGCCTTGTTTCTGCGTCGCTCGCGGCTCCCGCTACCTCTTGCTCCCGCGCGATGCCGCTGTGGCCGTCCGCTTGATGCCCCCCTGGGTGATCATGTTGCTGCCTGCCGTCGGTCTGGCGTTCTCAGGGCGCGGGGGGGCCCTGTTGAGCGAGCCGCCGGTCGGGTATGTCGTGAGGCCGGTGCAACTGTTGCCACCAACATTCTTGACCGCGGCTTGAACCTCGTGGCAGCCAGGCATGATGAGCGACGCATTGAAGTTATTGCCAATGGTTTGCCTTTGTGGGGCGGCTCACAGCTAGCCGTTGACACCACCTTGATCTCGCCACTCACTTCCGCCGGAATGCCCCGTCGCCGGCGTGGCAGGACAGCTGGCGTAGCCCTGGCTGAGGCGCGCCGGGCCAGAGAGCGTACCTACCCTGAGATCGCTGCTGCTCACCGGTGCCGGCTGGTGGTTCTTGGCCTTGAGGTGCCGAAGCGGCCACCTTCATCCGTTTGCTCGCACGTGCGCGGGCGCGCGGCGCCGCTCCGTCGCAACGTGCTGCGTGTGTTGCAGCCTTCGTCGGACGATGGTCTGGGTTTGTGTCCGTTGCGGCTGCCCGCTCGTTCGCTGCCAGCCTGCTGTCCCTGCCCATCTCCGGCACAGCGAACCTTGACGGTGAAGCGCCTCTCCTGAGCTGACTCTACTGAGTCGCCGCCGCTCGCCTCTCGCTTGGGGTGAGCCCGGGTCGGTGGTTAGGTAGGGTGTGGGTTCGGTAAGGCTCTGTGGTCTGCTGCACTGGGACCGCGTTCGGATGCTTGCAAAAAGGGTGCGCGAAAACAAAATAGCGGAGGGGCTTCTGCCGAGGATGTCCAATCGTTCGCCCCAACAGCGAGGTCTGGGTTGGCGATCGGACCAGCGTGCACCATGGAATCGTTGCATTTGGCATACCCTTACAGGCACACCAGAGTTTGTCGCCGGACACTTGGCCGCCTTCCAGTCCTGGGCGACACGCAGGTTGCATGGCTGTTGTTGCGCACGCGAACATACGCAGCTGGGCACGATGAAGCTGACCTCGCATGCTTGGATGCTTTGCTGCACGCCGATTCCGCAACCGACTTGCCGGCGCTCGCCCTAAGCTTTCCCTCAGCTTGTGCTCCGGCGACTCCGCCTGCCACTGCCCCTCGTGCACCACTGTGCGATGCCGCTGCCGGCAACTACATGACCCCTTGGGCACCACATTGCAGCATGTCCTCGGTCCGGCATCCTTCGCTCCCGGTGGGCCACTCAAGCGTGCTGCGGCCTGCATCTGCCGAGAGGCCGGAGCCACGGTTGCTCTCAACGTCCGGCTGCGGGACCTGAATGTGGACGTCGCCCTCCAAGACGAACGTCGCACGAGCTCTTCGCAAATGGGTTGGCGCTCTGGGGTGGTTCAGAGCTTGCGGTCGACACCACGCTGGTCTCCCCGCAAGCGCCCCCCGGAGGGCCGGCGGACGCACAGCAGGGGCCGCACTTTCACATGCACGCAAGGCGAAGGAACGCACCTACCCTGAGCTCCAGCAGTCTGCAAGGTGCAAGCTTGTCGTCCTCGCCCTTGAGCTCGGCGGCCGTTGGGGCGCCGAGGCCGTGGCCTTCGTCCGTCTTCTTGCGCGCCTCCGCGCTCGGGCCCCCGCGCTCGGGCCCTCCCCGCCTCCTCCCACGGGGCCAGCATTTCCGCCTGTGCCTCCCACTGGTCGGCCTTGCTGTCAGTCGCGGCCGCCCGCGCCTTCGCAGCTAGCCTCCTCGCCTTGCCTCTTTCCGGCACGTCCAATGTTGATGGCGAGGCCCCGTTGCTCAGCGACATCCTGGCTGACTCCTCCCACTCCCCGCCCCTCACAAGCCATATGCCCTAGGCCAGTAGGTGTGCACTGGGACCCCGAAGATTATGCTGGTGGCGGAGAACACGGCAGCCAACACTCGCACCCAGCCCACGCTGGGGTTTGAGCCGGAACTGCCGCAAGCCAAGCGGTCCCTGGCATCCGTAGTTGCCGACCCGGACCCCAGTCGAGCAGATGTAAAACAGGTGCGTTCAAAAAAAAGCTTTGTGGCCTGCATCTGCAGTCGCTGTCGCGCCCATGCCCGGTTTCATACACACCTGCTTGTCATCCATTGGCTTCTGCCGCAGGATTACACCCGCCCCTAGAACGGATGCGTTTGAGTTGCGGTTAGATGGCGGGATAAGTTTTTGGTGATTTTGCAAAGGAAGGGGGGGCATGCGCTCTGCTGTGGGAACCTCGGAGGAGAGAGGCGAATGTGAAACCTTAAGAATCTTGTGATGAACCGCGGCGGCTGGTTAATGAGCGCGTTGGAGACCTGAACATGTTGTACAAAGATGTGTTGTGAGTGAACGGCAGGCTATTCGAAGCCATTCTTGAAGCGGAGTCCCATACAGAGCAGGAGACGGCAAATTTGGTGTGCCTTTGCAGCATAAACGTTGGGCAAGATGAACCCCATAACCTCATAACCCTATAACCCTTAAACCCTATAACCCTATAACCATCTAAATCTATAACCCTATAACCCTATAACCCTATAACCCTATAGCCCTATATAAACCCTAAACCCAAAAAAAACCTCAATCAAGTGCTGATTGCCACGTCGCGTTTGCATGCGTTTGCGGGAGCAGCTCAGGATTCAACTGCTTGGCGCGGTGAGTCACATGCACAGCAGGTGCGCCCACCTGCCATTTGCTCAAATAGGGTTCAGGGCTTGGCGTGTGGGGTTTAGGGTTTAGGGTTGAGGGTTTAGGGTTCAGTATTTGCTCAAAACCACCCCGAAGCATGAACAAAACTATCATCCTTGTATTAAAACCCTCATGATGAAGAACATTTTTTCTGAAACAATTCGTAGCCACAGATGTTGCAGCTGAGTGCGGGACCGTGCGTTTTCATGACAATCGCGTGGTCTTGTGGCATTTCACTGGTTGTTGCTCTGAATACTGTGCAAGTTGTCGTTTGCATGCACTCCCAAATATGTGGGTGGGATAAACATGGATCTCGTTGAACGTTTCATGATGTTTCATGTGAGGGTTATGTGGTTTGCGCCGTGTCCTCCATATCCTCGCCTGAGAAGCTCTCCTGGCTCAAAGTTTACGGCTCCCGTCCGACATTCCTCGTGGAACTTCTGCTTCTCGGCCCAAATTTGGTGTCATTTGCATCGCTGGCACAGTTTGTTGCCCAGGACTCCCTCAAGCAACAACACCAATAATTGGTGCTTCCAAGGACGACATGGCGAACCAGCAGACGCGCAAGGCAGCATATGAGTCCGGCTTGGCCCGTGAATTGTTATGTGTTGGGTCAATGGCCATCCATCATGGAACATGTCTGGCGCACCCCTCATTCAACGTTGTGCCCAAAAGCTTACGTCGAAGGTGAAGGGCGCAAGCAGTCGTAAAGGAGCCCCTAAACCCATCTTAAACCCTAAACCCGATGCCCGAAACGCCCGACCCCTTCCTGCCTTCATCCAGATCCGCGTGTTGCCGACCCTGTTCGCGCTCGGCGCCTTGGTGTCTCCGCTCGCTTTCGTGGCAGCCCCTGGCAAGAGCGGCTTCTAGGCGGCATCATGCGGGGCGGAAGGCGGCATGGAACAAGGCGAATCAAGCCGCATCCCGTTTCTCGCAGTGAGCGCGCGCATTGAAGTCCCCTCGCGGAAGGTTCCGAAGTGCCACTGGCACCTATTGCTGCTGGTCTGGTTGCCGTTGCCAATCCCTTTCAGGCCAGACCGATCTGCTTGGTTTCCGCCTGAAAAGATGTATATGGTTTAGATCAGCTCCTATGTGTTGATTTGAACTGTGGAGGCTGCCTACGCTGAGCTGCCGCCTCTTGAGGACATCCCTCTGGAAGAGATCGCCATGGCCTTACAGCAGCAGGTCTGAGCCGCGATTTTGTGCGCAATGGACTCATTGGGGCATCTCAGTTTTTTTTTGTTCACCTTCTCGCCGCGCCACGCGCTCTAAGGGGCAGACCCGCTCGGGCAAGCTTGACATGGAAGTGACACGGATGCCATTCAGAAACCTGATGCTTGAAATATAGCGGGCCTTTGATCCAAGGGTTCCTAAATCGAACCCTGCAAGGGGAAAGAAGGAAGCTTAACCCTAATTTCTCAACTTCAAGCCCTAAATGCGAAACCAACAAACCCTAGGCTGAGCTTATGAGGTGGGTTTTCACGCATGTGTGCCGCATTCCCCAACTCCTGCAAACGGCCTTCGCAGAGACTTCGGCGTTGAGAGTGGGATCAGGATGCTCCATTCGAGCCTTCGGGAAGGATCCTCTCTTACGCCTGAAAGTCTCTACCGTAAACATTAGGCACTAAGCCGCCAACAACGAAAGAACAACACCCTACTGTAGAACCTTAAACCTAGCACGTGCAGGTGCAAAAAGGTGCGAAAAAAAAAAACCCTCAACCCTTAGAACAAAAAAACCCAAACCCCCAACCCCATCAACCCCCAAAACCTATAACAAAAACACCTCAACCCTAAACCCCCAAAACCCCCAAAACCCCCAAGCCCCAGTGACAAACTCAGTCCGACACCTTCTTCGGCATCAGCTTCCCGATTTGGCTCTTCGTGATCGGCGGCGCCGTGCTCTGGGCCGTGACCTGGGCGCCCGGGCTGTGAATAGGGTTTAGGGTTTAGGGTTTAGGGTCTAGGGTCTAGGGTCTAGGGTTTAGGGTCTAGGGTCTAGGGTCTAGGGTTTAGGGTTTAGGGTTTAGGGTTTGGGGTGCTATAGGCCCGCTTAGGACTTATTTTGAACCCTAAACCCTAATTTTTTATTGAGGTTCTAAGAAGAGTATAGGAGTTGAGGGGTTAAAGGTACCTGGCTCAATAGAGTTTAGGGCTTGTAGGGCTTAGGGTTGGGGTTCGTCCGGATGTGTTGCCCTCTGGATGACAAAGGTCCTCAGCATCAAGCCCGCCAAGGACAAGTCTTTGCCTCATGGAGATGCAGTGCACAAGACTTGGAACCATCGAACCTGAAACAAATGCTATAGGGGTTTTCAGCCCCTTGCGGTCAACTCGAACCTGAAACAAATACTAGAAGGTGCCGGAAAACTTAGTAGCCGTATTCCCTTATGGTCTCTATCTTTACACTAACTAGAATAGCCCCGCCCCCCAACAAAAAATATTCTAATTTTTAAGCCAGACTGTAGAGCCATCCCTCAACCTTCAACCCTAAACCCCTCCTTTTCCCTAAGCCCTAAACCCTAAACCCTAAACCTTTAAACCCTAAACCCTAGAGTCAGCAGTGTCCTGGAGGATGCCGAGGGCACCTACAAGACCTACATCGGCGGTGGAGCTCTGCCCCCTGAGGCACATCTTTTGTTGGGAGGAGGGGGGGGGGGTTAGGGTTTAGGGTTTAGGGTTCAGGGTTCAGGGTTCAGGGTTCAGGGTTCAGGGTTCAGGGTTCAGGGTTTAGGGTTTAGGGTTTAGGGTTTAGGGTTTAGTCCGGTCGCGACCAGATACACGAAACACACACACGGTCCGGTCGCTTTTCGAGTTGGTAGGAGGCTGCAGTACTTCCGCGCGTCGGCCATGAGATAGGCCACCCCACCTACCTCATCATATCAAAAGCCCGGGCAGGGCACCAAGAGGAGCACCAAAGAGGACATGGCCTGCATTCAGCCCCGAGACCCGGAAGGTTCTGAACACACGCAGCACAAGAAACTTAGGTTTAGAGATGTTTAGAGTATAGGCGGGTTTAGGGTTTACTGTGGCAAAAGGGTTTAGGGTTTAGGGTATAGGGTTTCAAAGCCCCCCCCGCCCCCCCCCAATCCCTCGCTGCGGAGGGCTTCACCAACCCTGCGGATCCCCGCGTCGTGGAGGAGTTGGCGGACCGTGGGAGCCGAGTTGGTGCTTTTGAGGTTTGTTTGGGTTTAGGGCTTAGGACCCCAAAAACAATAAGCTTATAAACGCCCGGTTTAGGGTTTGGGGTTTAGGGTTTAGGGTTTGGTCTAGGGCTTGGGGTTGAGGGTCCAGGGCTTCGGAAGAAACCCAAACCTTATAGCCCTAAACCATCCTAAACCCTAAACTTTCCCCAAACCTTGTATGAACCCCAAACAAAGGTTCGTAGGCTTGGCGGCGGGGACTTACTGTAGTGCCTTGTTCTTTGGAGCTGTTGTTGTACGCTTGCGGCGGCTTCAGAAATTGATGTGTTTCTTTTGCGTCCGAGGTTGTATGACTTTCGTGCCTGGCAGTCGCAGCAGCAGTAGCAGTAGCAGAAGCTAGTAGGAGTAGTAGTCGTCGTCGTAGTATTAGTGGTAAAAGCAGCCGTCTTTTTTCCGATGATGAGCATGGCAATTAGCATTCGTATAAAAGTTAGCATTCTTATATGATTACTTCAGGGCTGTGGACCTCAGTCGATGTGCGAGGCACTGCGGTCGCCCAAGCAGAGAGCTTAAGGCCTTTCAGGGTACCCACGTGCTTCTGGCAGAGAGTTGTAGCCCACGTTTGTTGCTGCAGCTTTCTTCTCAAACTCAGGGTTGGATGTGTAGGTTGGAGGTGGTTGCGCGTGCCTAAACCCTAAACCCTAAACCCTAAACCCTAAACCCTAAACCGAGTAAGTCCTGGATGTTCGAGTTTGGGGTAGTATGGTGTTGTGTGGAGCGCTTTGGCCCGCACCCTGAACCATCTTACCGTCCAGCCATGCATGCTCCAACACAACTGCTGCCTCCCCTCGCGGTGGAGAAGACGCTCCGAAGAAGTGGAGTCAAATTCCAGTCAAATTCCAGACATACACCTCTTGCTGTCTACGTTAAGCCCACATGCTCCACCCCCCGACATTTTTCTGCATTCAAAGCTTCTGAGAGTGGATGTGCCCGAGTATTATTTTCTGCTTGGCTGCTGCTTGGGCCGCGAGCCTCGGACCCGTACATTGCATCCGAGACAGAGTTCCACAACCTAGATCTGCTTGCCTGTTGCACACTAGCACTGCCCTGCGCTGCGACGAGTGCTTGACCTAAACCCTATACGCCCTAGTGCAGTGCTGTCGATGAAGGATCTTGTGTGCCTTGCCTGGCTTGTCCCGAGCATGAGGGAACCCTGAAACCTTACCATGCTCGGACGCGATGTTCGAAGCTCAGGCCGGGAAGCAGCACGGAGTCTAAGCTCGATCTCCTCCTGTCGCGTGTTGAGGCTAGCGCTTCGGGCAACTTTGCGGGGCTCGTAAGGGCTTGGGGTCTAGGGCAGGTCTTGATTCAACAAGCGCCGATTGGGGCGCAGGTAAGTTGGGATGTCGAACCACTTTAATAATCATTCCCCCAATTGAGATGATTTCAGACAGGAGGGCCAGTTGTGCGCGCGGAAAGGAGGGCTTCTTGCTTTCGTGGGTCAGTGCATTCTGCTTCGTGGAATTTTGGCTTCTTGGCCTTTGGCCTTAACTTCTTGCTTGTTGTGTTTCACTTTGTTTCCTGCTCTTCCCCAAAACGGCTTCATGCTTTGGCACTGGCTCTGAGCTCGCCAGCGAGCCCTTAAAGAATTGCCAACTCTTGCTTGCAGAATCTAGCAGGGCCGGGGAGGCAGGGCATTGCATTGTTGGGAAGAGATGATTTGCTCTGAACTTGTCATAGCCCTTTGGTGGCAACCCCGAGTTGAAGTAGGGTTTATATCACTGTTATTGATGAGTCTGTATAAGGTTCCTTATTAATATCGGTGAGGGTGCCTTTTGGGGATACAAGAAATATAAACCCTACTTCAGTTCAGCAGAACCTCTTGCTGACAAGCCAGGAATCGCATTGCCTGCAGCTTGAGATGTTTGGGATGCTCCAAAAGATCGCCCCTTGGTGGCAGGATGCTAGCGGGCGTAGTCAGGTTGCATCGTGAGTTTCGGGTGGAAGGTTGAGGGCTCTACCTTACAGACACAATGCTTCTAAGCTGAAGCCATGGCACATCTGACCATGAACGATACCTGAGCCTCCCTTCTATACAGTTCTCAGGGTCGTGAAAGTGGGAGGCTGGGTATTCAGGTTCAGTCATGTGTTCTGGCAGTCACCACATTCCAGTTGCAAAAGGCTCCCTTCTAAACGCTGTTGGACTAAACGGGTTCCCCTTGACCCTATGAAGAACTCGATAGGTCGAAGACTAAACCCTAAACCCTAAACCCTATACCCTAAACCCTAATCCCTAAACTCCCAAGCCGAACTTCAAACCCCGCAGCGCTGTGGCTAGACGGGTGCCAAAAAAAACCCTAAACCCTAAACCCCCCACCCCTTGGTCCTCAGGGGATTGAGATCGGATCTCACAGCCACGAGTCCTCGAATCCTCGCACAGCACGCAGGGTCACCGAGATGCTGGGCTTCAGTCCTCTCATCTCATTGTCATAGGTTCAGGGTTTAGGGTTTAGAGTTTAGGGTTTAGGGTTTAGAGTTTAGGGTTTAGGGTTTAGGGGTACTTAAACTCAACAAGGAACAGAAATTTAAGTTTTTAGTACGATCTCAAGCATGAACTAGCAAGCGCAGGGTTTTTGCCAACAAATCGTTGTGAATTTGCAAGCTGATTCCTTACACAAGCCGGCGCTGGCCCCGCAAACCCGGGAGGTTATCGAGGGCTTCAAGACATGTATAACACAATGATCTAACCAGCAAGATATAAACGAACAGAAGCTGCTGAGGAAGGACAAGGCTTCGGGGACCCTCCAGCAAGCCGAACCAATTCGCAACCCCTGCCCTTTTTGTATCCACAAACCTCTCTACACCTCTCTCCTGCGCATTCTAGCACTTTCGAGCCCCCAACCCAGCCCTATGACCCCCAACTGCTGTCGCTCCTTAACCACACCGCTTGCCCCAAGTCGAGCCAAAATGCCTAGAAGCAAAACCCGGCAAGACTTTCCAACACCCGAAAAACTCCGGACACAAACCCTATGCAATTCCCGAAGCCCTAAACCCCCAATTCCTAAACCCTAACACCAAAACGCTAGACCCTAAATCCGGTAAACACCAAAAACCCCGAAACCCTCAATCTAAGCCCCAGAACCCCTCAACCCCCAAAACCCGAAACCCCAAAACCCCTAAACCTCAAAACCCTAAAACCCGAAACCCCCGGACCGCAAAGCCCTAAACCCTCAGCCCCCAAAGACCCTAAACAAACCCAACAATGATTCTAAAAACAAAGCCCTAAACAAACCCGAAAATGAAAATAGAAGTAAACCCTAAACCAACCCAAAAGTGACGTGAAAATAAAGCCCTAAACCAACCCAAAAATGAAAATGGACATAAAACCCTACACCAACCCAAAAATGAAAATATAAACCCTACACCAACCCAAAAATGAAAAACAAGATAAACCCCTAAACCCCCACAGAAAGAAAAGAGGAGGAAACTCAACCAACCCAGGAACCCCAAGCCCTAAACCCAAAAAAGAGGAGGAAGCTCAACCAACCCAGGAACCCTAAACCCTAAACCCCAAAAAAAGAAGAAGCTCAACCAACCCCAGGAGGTCAGCTCACCCTAAACCCTAAACCCTAAACCCTAAACCCTAAACCCTAAACCTCAATGCCTAAACCCCCAACCCAGGAGGTCAGCTCAACGATCCGAGCCCCGGCATTCCTTCCTCAGCAGCGAGATGACCAACTCGAGGTCTCTTTGGCTTTGGCCCCCCTTTTGAGGGGTTTCCTGTAGGGTTTAGGGTTTAGGGTTTAGGGTTTAGGGTTTAGGGTTTAGGGTTTAGGATTTAGGGTTTAGGGTTTAGGGTTTACATCGGGTTTAGGGTTTAGAGTTTAGTGGGTTGAGGATTGAGGTTTGGTTTCCCAGCTGATCTGAATTTGGGCTGGGCCTGGATGTACACAGGTCTGAGCCTCCAGCGTGTATGGGGTTTAGGGCTTGTCGGGTTTGTAGGGTTGAGGACCTGTCGGGGGGTTTACCGTGCTGGCTCAGTTGCGCAGCAGTCCAGATGCAAAGGCAGGTCTGCAGGGTTCAGAGGTGTGAAGGGCCCAAAGTGTGCCTTTATTTACTCCATGTTGGCCTTGGTTCCATAACAAGCCCTGTTAAAAACCATAAAAGGGCCCCCTTTTCATCCCCAGATTGCTTGGGTTTAGGGTTTACATAGCGTGTAAGGTTTTGGCACGGTTTGGAGGGGGCTTCGGGCTTGTGAGGCTGGTGCGAGGTTAGTGGCATTAGGCAGACTGGTTCTGAGCCCCTGGGCAGTGAGGCCTCCGAGCATGAAGAAGATGGAGGACGCTTTATTCCGGGAGCTTGGCGGTCTGCTCGCAGCTCGGAGGCAGTTCTCGACATACTGGCAGCCTGGCTTGCGGTTTGTCCGGCCCTGCGGTGACAGCGGCAGTGCAGCCGATAGCTTAACTAAAGGACAGAGGCAAGTCCTTGGATTGTCCCTGTAAAAACTCATGCTTACTCCTTCCTTGGGCCTGAGTAACTGATGTCTGGTCGTTAGCCTGTTGGATCATCGGCCTTATGACGGTGGTGTGGATTGTTACTGTGTTAGTTTGGATTGTTTCGTCAACTGCTTCGTCAATTGTCGAACATCAAGGGTTCGAGGGTTCGATCATCAAATGACTTGGAGCTGACAGATGGCAAACGCATGCCAAGAAGCACATGGCTTTGATTCTACCTTGATAAGAACATGATGGGCTTTATTCGGCACAAGCAGTAGCATCATTTTTGCCGCATGATAACATCACGCACCACGCATGCCGGGCTCAAGCATGGACATCTGAAGGTCTACTTAGCTCACCAGAAGCGAACGTTGCGGCTTCAGAGCTTGCTTCGCTCATGGAGTCGGGGCCCTTGGTGGTGGCAGACCTTTTGGACCTGTCGAGGTGCGCACAGAACCCTTGGTACGCCCACATTCGCATCAAGGAGGAGGCGCTCCCGCTGCTTTACAGAACTGAGCACCACCTGCTCCTTCAGAGGGTCATGGTACTAGCCGAGGAGTCGCCGAATCGCTACAACTCTGTTGCAGTGACCACGAAGGGCCGGGAAGTTGCATCGTTCATCGCCCGCCATGTGGGCCACGTCTTTGTGCTGTCGCTCCTCGATGTCGCTATCATCTCGGGGGATTGGCAGAAAGCCAGTGTCCTTTACAGCATTGGTGTGCGTCCGGGTGAGCTGATCAATTGCAAATCCTATCTGTTTTGCAACCCCGTGACCGGAGTCGCAGAGAGAAGGACTGTGGACGTCCTGCAGACGGCAAAGGCTGTTTGCAGGCCTTTGTACGACCGGTTGCGGGCAGATCCGGAATTTCTGGGGCGCGCTCTGGCTGGCAAACTCGACTCTATTCCAAGCACGCTCTTCGAGTCCGGAGTGAGTGCGTCTGCCATAGAGGGCGTGGGGCGCTTCCTTTTTCGCATCCGCAATGTGAGGCATCACTATCACGAGCATTGTCACTTCCACTTGAGGATGGACTGTCTCCAGCGCCTTGTGGCTGCTGGCGTTGACCTCCGCTCAGTTGTCGTCAACCCGTTCGATTGCTTTCAGCAAGCGGTACAGCAGCACAAGTTTCTTAAGTACCGAGGTTACTTGAAGTGCATCCTCAATCAACTCCGGCATGTCGAGCGGTCACGGCACTGGAGAGAAAGGCAGACTTTGCTTGAGATGGCAATCCGGTGTGGGCAGCTTGATGCAACGAAGCTGCTGAGTCATGCGCATTGTGACGCCAGCTCGCTCACTGCGGGCGATTTGGAAGGACCCCTCTTCTTGGACATGTTGGAGTCCGATGACGGTGAGGAGTACGAAGTAGCCGTCAACAGAAAAGTAGAATCCGCGGAAGCGGCCCGCTTGGCCTACCACCTGTGCCGACATCGGCATCAGATAGTCCTCATTCAGTGGACGGGCTGGTGGTCACGCCACAACGGAAGTGTGTGTGCTACCCGGAGCGAGATGGTTGATCACATTGCCTCCTTTGCCCTTGCTGTGCCTCCCTTGCCAGAGATTCTACGGCTCCCCCGCCCCATGGGAACGCGCAACGCTGCCCGACGTGCTGCCCGGCGTCGACTCAAAGCTGGGTGCCATGCCGACATCCGCAAGCTGCCGCCGGCGATCAATCCTCCGGCCCCGCAGTCCGTTGAACAAGTCGCGGCAGAAGTGATTGAAGAGGTGGGTCGGCCCAAGCTCCGATGTAATTCTAGTATTGCTGGAGGCACGCGCACACACACACACACACACCCCACACACACACACACACCCCACACACACACACACCCCACACACACACACACACACACCCCACACACACACACACACACACACACACACCCCACACACACACACACACCCCACACACACACACACACACACCCCACACACACACACACACACCCCACACACACACCCCACACACACACCCCACACACACCCCCCACACACACACACACACAAAAACACACACCCGCACACACACACACACACACACACACACACACACACACACCACACACACACACACACACACACACACACACACACACACACACACACACACACACACACACACACACACACACACACACACACACACACACACACACACACACACACACACACACACACACACACACACACACACACACACACACACACACACACACACACACACACACACACACACACACACACACACACACACACACACACGCACGCACGCACATAGCACACAAGCACGCAGAGACACAGAGACACAGAGACTAGAGACACCTAACGCAGGTGATGCACGATCCCGCAGACAAAGCGGCCAAGATTTCCGAGGACGAGGCAAGTGCGACTGAGAGGGCTCTTTGGGAGGCGGCACTGGAGACGAGAGTCGCAGCTTCGAGGACAGCTCAGGTTTAGGGTTTAGGATTTAGGGTTTAGGGTTTAGGGTTTCGGGCTTGGGGTCCGGATGCTGAAAGACTTGATTAGGGTGGCGGTCGGTAAAAGCTGGCGTTTACTTGGCTCTGTGTGTGGCCACATCCACACTATGACGTCAAACTACGATTTAGCATGCTGACGCACCAAAGGGGCCTACCAGCCAAAAAAATGGTCGAAGCAAGAGCAAACACACAACCCCTCCCCCCCCCCCCCCCCTCGAACGCAGGGAGTTCCGAATCGACCGTCACTTGGAGCACTTGCCCTAGCAATAGCAGCACTCTCAGTTTTCGAGGAGAGTGAGTCCACAAGTACTGTGGTGTAACGAGTTATTTGAGGGTGAGGACTTGGATGGCCAGCTGACAGTGTTAGAGGGGAGTGAGTGAGGACGCTCTGGAATGCACTGATATCTCTTCGGCCGCAAAGAGATGTACCTGCCGAAATAAACATGTACTTTGGATGTGGATAACGATGTGCAAATCAGTGTGTCGTAATGTATTCAGAATCTGGAATGCATTCATGAAGGGATTCAAATATGGGTTCATGTCAGCAGTGAGACAAAAGGAATGTGAAGTTGCGGCTGACAACCGACATCAAAGTAGTGTGTGAGGGTGTGTATTTATTTGTTTTTGTGTAAGCCGCAAGGACAGATGTTGCAGTTGGGATCCACGAGGAGGTGCCGCGCTTGGCGCCAAGCGAAGAGGTTGTCCTCGGCAAGCTCAACCGCATTCCCAAAGCACTCCGGACTGCCTTTGCTGAAGGCCCAGCCCTTCGCCCTTGCCGCGACGCGCTCCTGGCGGAAGGGCTCCCTTGGAAGCTATTCTGACTTTAGGTTTTGGAGTTCTACTCGTCACTTGTGAAGTCTTATAGATCGAATAAGAAGAGGAAAGCCGCCGTTTAGTGAAATTCAATGTCAGCAGTGACCCAGGAAGCTGACCAGTGGTGCCATGATCTTTGTCAAGCCTTGGCAATACAACCAGGTCGTCATGGCCCTCGGTGTGAAACCACTCCGCCCTGACCACGTGATCTTCACGGAGTCCCTTGAGTACTTGGTTGAAGAGGTGCTTGCGCAGCATGGAACCTGGGTGAAGGACCGAAGCACCCTTGACATCCAGAACATCGGGGATCAGGATTCTCAACAGGGAGAGGACAGCGATGAGAACAAGGAGCCAGGAGGTCTTCGCTCGTGGCAATCGCTCATGTTCGTGGAGAAGACCTTCGTTTGCCTTGCTCCTGTCCGAAGCTGCGCCATCACCACGGTGTCCAGCACGGATGTCCGCAATCCAGACGCCAACCCACGCCGAGTTGAACTCTGGGAACTTGTGTGAAATAAATGTCAATTGTCATGCGACCGGCGGTTTGCCCTGCAGTTGCGGCTCTCAAGAAGCAGTTATGCATATTGGTGACCGGGCTGTTGATGTGCAAAAGTCTGAGCTTAGAACATAGAAACAATTTTGCACCGAAGGATTCTGTACAGATGTGTTGCAGTCTGGACCATTCCGGAAAGAATTTGCCTAGGCTGGCAAGGAGGCATTCCACCAAGCAGCAGTCATGCACATTGGTCGGATGCGCCGCCATGCAGAAGTCTGGCTTTACACTGCACACCTGCTTGCAGGGACAGAAACAAAGCGCACTCGTTCCAGTTTGCATAAGCGTTGTGGTTCTAAACCCAAAACCCTATAAACCCTAAACCCTAAACCCTATAAACCCTAAACCCTAAACCCTCCACCTCACGGAAGCTGTGAAAGCATGTCCCTTCGCTCCCCAGACTCCCCGACGCAAACGATCGATACACGAAAGTGCCAAGGCTGAACGTGCCGACGCCAATAACTTGCAGTGTTCGCAGCAGTTGTTCTAATCTATTGATGATTAACAACGATGTCGACTCATACGCTCCTAAACCCAAGAGGAGCCGAAGCTCAACAAGGCAGACCCTGCCTGAACCCTATAAAAATGCCCACATGTGCCAGTACTCACCCTAAACCCTAAACCCTGAACCCTAAACCCTAAACCCTAAACCCTAAACCCTAAACCCTAAACCCCATAGCCAAGGAAAGCTCCGCAGCGCTGGGTCCGCTGGCTCGCTCATCCGGGGCGTGCCGGTCATCGGGGGTGGGCCGGTCCACTGTCACTGGGCCTGCGTTACGGGGTTAAGGCTTATAGGCTATATAGGGTTTAGGGTTTACGGTTTGGGGTTTAGGCTTATAGGGTTTACTGGGTTCTAGGTTTTCAGGGAAGGCGTGGATGCAAAAAGGGGAACATGTGTACTAAGATGGCCCTACAATAGCCGCTTTGCCATCCCATAGGACTTGCGATGACTGTCGCAGAGGTTGTAAATCCCCCAATGTCCTTGTCCAGGCCCTCAAAACAAGAGTGCCATTGTCTTGTGTAGAAATCCGAAGATTCTCGTCCACATGGCCATTTCTCAGCAATCTCTCCAGCACTAGACCCTACACCCTACACCCTACACCCTACACCCTAAACCCTAAACCCTAAACCCTAAACCCTAAACCCTATACCCTATACCCTATACCCTATACGATACCTTTGCCGACTCATGAGTTGTGGTGTTTTATTTGGGCAGACTTGCAGGCTCAGGACTGGGTGGTCTAGCGTATTCTATTTTTGCGTGCACGTCCATGCGTATGAAGGCTCGCGCCTTAGAGTGTGACCCTTCATATCCTCTGAAAACCCCAAAATTTTCTTGAACTCCCCCCTGATGATCCTTCAAGCCTTAGATCCTATTCCAGGTGCTGAGCGCGGCAGATCATGGGGGTATGAACTTCCACGAGGTCAGATGGGGTGGGCCTGCTCGGTCTTAGGTGTCTTGTCAAGTTCATTCGTAGAGTTCATCCATTTGCAGATATCGAGCAACCATTCTTTGCATCATCCGAGCGCAGGGCTGGAAGCCATTTCTGGCACAATTCGCACAGCCGTGTGTTTGTTTTTGTGGTTGTGAACGGATTGTGATGTTGTTAGGAATGGTTCAGCAACCGTCGGAGGGTGGAGCAATACTTGACTCGTCTGCGTGGTAGTCAACATGAGCAGATTACCTACTGGCCGCGCAAGAGAGATCAGGAGTCACGCTTGCAAAGTGCCAGTTTCACTGCCGGAAGTTCAAGCGCGTGTAGCATCGGAGTCCAGACCTTGTAAAGTGCCGCCGCTCCAGTTCCATCAGGGTCTTGTGGGTCGTGGAGTTTAGTGTCATGGCCCCCTCATGCAGCCATCGCCCTTGCACCCGAAATGTTGGACAGGATGAAAACGAGATCTGTCTACCCGGGCGACTCCCAGCAGAGGTACCGCGGTGAAGACTTTGATGGCGGGTTCGACGATTCGAATCAGGATCTGAAGTTGCAGTTGAATTTCGCACCGTCAACCGAGAACGAATGCTGCGCCCCAAGGGTTTAGGGTATCATGTGTCATGACTGTCACAGGGCGAGCCCCGAAGCCCGGACGAAAACAGCGGGCAAACCCGTGTTCCCGAGTTGCTGCTAGGACCTGCTAGGACCCGGAGTAGGCCTTATTCCCTTTTTTGGGGGTTTAGGTTCCCTCAGAAGCCCCTATCAAAATGTTCTTCCATGTCTAGGCTGTTGGTTGTATAATGTCCCCCTAAACCCTAAACCCTAAACCCTAAACCCTAAACCCTAAACCCTAAACCCTAAACCCTAAACTCTGTGTTCTGCTTAGGCTAAGGCCAGCTTGGCCGTGTCCGCGACGCGACTTCAGTCCATGAACCGCCAGTCCCAGGTGCTGAGAACGGGTCTTGCGTTTGTATGCTTTTGGGGTTGGGCTTTAGGGTTTACAGGGTTTAGGGTTTAGGGTTCAGGGTTTAGGGTTTAGGGTTCAGGGTCTGCTGGTCTCTGGTGACTAGCGACTGGCGCGGCCCTCAGTCCTGGCCAGAAGCAGCTTCCAGGTTCAAAAAAGGGTTTAGGGTTTAGGGTTTAGGGTTTATAAGGTTTAGGGTTTAGGGTTGAGTTTTAGGGCTTTGGTGTTGGAGTCCTTCTGCAATCCATGCCGCTTAGGAATCTACGCCCAACCCCTCAAGTTGGCCAACCCCTCAAGTTCGTGCCCTCAGCCGCTGGGGGAGGCTTTCATCCTCTCCAAAATGGCCAAGCTCCTTTTCTATTCTTTGGAAACGGTTTGGTACATATTTGGCGTGAATCCCCTAACCCCTACTGCACCCAAGTTCCGGCCAAACCTCTAACACCTTGAAACCGAAGTCAAGTTGTGGGTTCCGGAATCTGTAAGGATCGATGAGAGCAGAACTAAGTCTTCCCCCCGCTCTTTGCAGCTCGATCGCACAGTGCCTCGGCTTGCCTGGGGTTTGAGGAATCAAGGTTGACCAAGTTGAGAAAATGGCCGGCTTAGTTGCATATGTGTTGTTCATTCCCGTGCTGGCAGGCCGTGCTGAGGGTTTTCAGCGCGCTTTTTGAAAGCCATCATCTCCAAGCACCTCCACCCCTAAGCCCGTGAAACCCTCATCCCATGTTCCTTAAGACTTTTTGAAGGTTCATGAGTACTTGAAAGTCGGGTTGTAAGTCCCACTAAACAAGGTTATGACCCTAGTTACTGAAACCTCACTTCTAAGTACCCATGAACCTCCAATAAGCCCAATAAACTCTAAACCCTAAACCCTAATCCCCCCTAAACCCTGAACCCTGAACCCTGAACCCTAACAGCAGCCCAGGATCGCCTCATGGGCTCGAATCTCCTCCTGAGCCGGCCCTGGCTGCTCCGATCCCTGGTGGCCTTCGCCTGCTTCAGCCAGGCGCACTTTGAGGTGTAGGGCTTAGGGTTTGGGGTTTAGGGTTTGGGGTTTGGGGTTTAGGGTTTAGGGTTAGGATTGGGAGCCTTGCTGTCACGAGTACGGGGGGCTTGCAGGGCGGCCTTGGCTGACAGGGAGATTTTCGAGGCAGGCGAAGTCTCTTGGTTAAGGGTTCAGGTTCATGGGTACTGATAAATGGGGGTTAGAAGCAGAGCAACCATGGTTATAACCTGAAAACAGGGGACCTACATCCCGACTTACAAGCACCCATGAACCTTCAAGCAATGCACGGCATGCGCCCAAGACCCTCGAACCTTCTAACAGGCAGCAGTCCTATCAGCTGCCAGAGTTACCATGGCAAGCTCAAAAGCGCAAGCCAGAATGCTGCAATAACCCTGCAGGGCCCAGACGCCCCAATGGCCCGAAACCACAGGGTGTAGGGTCTGGGGTTTAGGGCCACAGGAGTCATAGCACAAAGGACTTCAGCAGGCCCGACTATGGCAGAGCTCAGCTCCAAACCTTCGATTCAACCCGCAGGATTCCAGCAAAACTCAAACCTCTCTACACGTGTACTTTCTGTCGGAACCTTTTCCGGGCCCTCAGCCCTCAACCGTAAACTCTAAACCCTAACCCCCAGAACCCTTCCACATCCCTGAACATCGGCCAAGATCGCCACCATCATTGCCCTCAAGATCGTGGGGAAGGGCCAGTTGCAAGGCGGGTTGCAAGATCTCTTTCGTGTTTGGTCCTGGTAGGGATGTTTAGGGTTTAGCGTTTGGGGTTACCGAACACCCCATGACCGATGCATGCGCAGAGCTGAAGGCAAAAATCTCCTTAAGCCCTTACCGAAAAACCCTAACAGATTTAGGCTGTATAGTTGTTTCATGGGGATAGGCATTTTCGGGGAGGTTTCTACTACATGGGGATTCCCGCAGATGGGACATAAGACTGTATTTAGGCCAAATGTCTTTGCCTACCATCATCCCCCCAGAAGCCCTAAACCCCAAACCCCAAACCCCAAACCCTAAACCCTAAACCCTAAACCTGTGTCAACTGAAAGCAGGCCATGGCTTCACGCTGCTCTCCTCTCTGCTCTATGCCGCGGCCGCTGGCGGCTCGCTGCAGCTCTTGGGCCGCGCCAACCGCTCCCCCGACCTCGAGCCGCCAAGCTGGAGTGTTTAGGGTTTAGGGTTTAGGGTTTACGTAGGGTTTAGGGTTTAGGGTTTAGGGTGGTTTAGGTCCAGGCTGTTCCTTTGCAGAGCTTGGAGGAATTTATGACAGCGAAGAAAAGACGCAAAGTGGGACGTCCGTCTTTTCTGACGTAGGTTGCGATGTTTGCTGCCTTTGTCTCATTCCCGTCCGTCCGCTCGTAGCTTGTGTCTGCTTAATCGCCAGACCTCAGCCTGTCCCCGGTCTGATTGCGCAGGCTTGTGTGCACAGATTTGCCGAGGCTGGCCATCACCCGACTGCATTCCTTTGTGGCAGATTTTACGCTGCGCTGGAATGACGTTTCGGGCAAGGCGCGAGAAGCTGTTGAGTCAGTCCCACCAATCTGAAACCATGGGCCACTTGGGGTTTCTAGGCTCGTCGTCGGGTTATCCATTCGATAATCGAAGATGTCCGAAGCCGCCCCAGAAGAACCGAAGAACCACCAACCCTGAAAGCAGCAAAAGTCTCCTTCAGGTTTCATGTCATGACGTAGAGCAAGATTTTCAAGTTGTTGCTCGGCCTATGCCGGGGGAAAGAGGGGTAGAGAACTCTTGACCCGAGACCAGACCCTAAACCCTAAACCCTAAACCCTAAACCCTAAACCCCAGGAGTGGCGCAAGTTCCTTGCTGGTTGGCTGGTGCTCGTCGTGGTCTTCTCGGCCACGCAGGGATTCGAAGCATGGCTCCTGAGCAGGGACCTCATGGCTGAGGACACCCAACTTTCCCTTCAGTTCTCTGGCTTACAGGGGCTTATGTTAGGAGTGTTTATGGTTTAGGCTTTGGGGTTTAAGGGTGGGGGCTGCAATTTGACCACTCTTCTAAACCATAAACCCTATAGACCCTAAACCCTATAAACTCTAAACCCTAAACGCCCTCGAAGACCAGACTGTCTGCGACACAGGACTCCTTGACGCAAGCACTGTCCTACGCAGTCGCCGCCTTATCGGCCCTGAGCCTCTGTGTGTCCGGCGGCGTGGTGACCCTCACAGGCTACATGCGCCTCGGGCACACATGGAGGAGATCTGAGACGGCATGAGATGTTCAAGGTTTTTGAAATGTTTCGGGGGGGGTGTAGGGCTGATTTGCATCGAAAGACGATGCGAGGAGTCAGTTTTTTTTCTTCTGGCCTATCAGCTTTTTCTCAACTTCAGGTGCCCTTCGCACGGAATCCTGTCACAGCAGAATCCCGCGTCCGAAATCCCCCTAGACCCCTCAGCGGCGCCGAAATGTCTATGAGGCAGTCTCATGTGATGATCGGCCTGCACAAGAGTCTCGACTGCTGGTGCTGCGACTCTTGGCTTGGGAGGCAAGAGAGCGAGAGAGCGAGAGAACGAGCGAGAGACATTTTGGAGTTTAGGGGACGTCTTGGCTCTCGCCCTGCAGTCATAGGCACTGTGGTGTGGGCTGGGCAGAAAGGGCAGCAGTCGAGTCCCTTGTGAAAAGGGGACGTCTTGGCCGAGAAGTTAAAAGAAGAATGGCACGAACTTGAGCAAAATCCTCGACGGTAGGACCTACTAAGTGTCACCGACGCCGAGCAAGGCTAGCGATGGTTCACGTAGACGCCAATTCGCTGTTGCAGCCGTTTGTTCTTAGTTATGTCAGTTACGGTACCCACTCGGGTTGAGCGAAAAGTGCTCGGTTTTTACACGTGTCCCATGTTGTGCTATCCTTCCTCCAACACGTCCTAAATTTTCTGCGTTCCATCCCGGCACGGTTGGCACACATGCGGAGAATGCAGAACCCTCTCCACCACGTGTTACATCCAGGGTGACAACGAGAGGAAGCGCTGGGCTCATAGCCGCAAGTAGTCCGAACATGTCATTCAGTATCGAGCGCTCAACAACTCGCGCATGCCCGATTACCCAACAAGGCCTGCACAGACATGCTGTGCCTTTCCTCCCCCCCCCCCCGCCGCCACCCTTGCGGGGCATCCGAAAAAGCCTTGTCCCATGGTTCCCTAAGAAATCGAGTCGTGCTGCCATGAGCCAACAAAAGGCACACACAAGAAAAGCAATCATAAGGTTCATGTAGGGTATTTGGGCTCACTTGATTCGGAGCAATCATAAATCAACTCATATCTGCCACAACGAGCGTTCCCGAAGCCCCGCCATGCAATGCCATGAGTACGCCAGAAGCACCATGTGCCGGTGATACCGTCCCTAAACCCTAAACCCTAAACCGCCGTCCAAGGACATTGCCAACAACCAGGACTTCGAAGCCGGCGTACAGAATTGGAATGGCATGCAGGCCGATCCGGGCTTCGTGGGGGTCGAGGTTGGCTTTGAAGAGAAGCTTATTGGGGTTTAGGGAAAACCCTAAACCCTAAACCCTAAAGGGTATTGGGTTGGCTGCTTTAAATGAAGGTTGGGTGCCGGCTGCATTGCGGAGGAGCTGGCTCGAGGATGTGGGAGTCGGTGGTTACAGGCTTTCTAGGAAATTGTGGCCCAGGCTGGTTGAAGCAAGTAGTTTAGGGTTTTGGGTTTTTGGTTTAGGGTTTAGGGCACACATGTGGTAAGCGCAAGCCCTGTAATATCTGGCTTCTCGACAGAACCCAAGTTTCACCCCAAAACCCTGCACCTTCAGCCCTCAAGGCGCCTAAGCCCTAAACCCTATGAAGCCATAAATTCTGTAACTCTTAACTCTTAACCCAAAACCCTACACCCCTGCAGTGCTTTGGCTTGGCGGGTGGCGAAGAAGCACCCTAAGCCCCTAATCCCCCGCAGAACCCGCAGGCGTTACTGAAGTGTGTGGCCCGGGAGTTGGCCAACAGCTTCCTGCTGCTGCATGCATCTTGGATTGGAACCCATATGTTCGAAGCCCTACCCTGGATCCTAAACCCTAAACCCTAAACCCTAAACCCTAAACCCTAAACCCTAAACCCTAAACCCTAAACCCTAAACCCTAAACCCTAAACCCTAAACCCTAAACCCTAAACCCTAAACCCTAAACCCTAAACCCTACCCAAACCCTGAACCTAAACATCAAGAATCCACGAACATGCTGTTTCATTCTTGGTTGGCATTGTCACTTGATGCCATCGAATGCTCAACTGGACTTCAGATGGGGAGTACCGGAGAGAGGGTTTGCCTGGAGCTAGTCCTTTGGCCTTGTTGTTTTCCGGCTAGCGGCCTGTGGAGGTTCGCAAGCACTTGCTCTGATCGCTTGGGCTTCGGTCATGGAGAAGACATTGCCAGGGTACCTTGACCCTTACTTGGAGCCTGGTGGCATTGCAGTATGTCTACTGGGCTACTAAGCTTAAACCCTGATTCCTGAACGACTCCAAGCCCGAGCCATGCGGCTGAAGCTCTCCGTTGCTGACAGACACTGGCTGTGGTCGGCTTCGCGTGCTTCCTCACGGGCTGCGCGACCATCGCGGCAAAGCTTATAACTCATGGCAAGCTTCAAGATCGACTCAGGGTTCTTTGGAGGTTGGGATGTTTATCCTTGTTTTGAGATTTAACAGTGCTTACTCGGGATTAGCGTACCCCTATCATAATCCCTATGAAGGACTGTTAGTCTAAGGGGGAAGTTCCCGAGTTGGAGGGTTTCGGGCTTAGGGTTGGATGGTGTAGGGTTTCGGGACTTTCCGGCCTGTCTTTGGATTTCGGCTGCAAGGACGTATGCCCAAGGTACGCCTGAACCTGGATTCCTAAGCAACAAACCTTAACTCAACTCCTCAAAATTTCCTCAAACTACATCAGACTCAACCCTGCACAAGGACAGATTGAGATGCACGAGGGTTGGCAACCATCCTGTCTTGCTGTTTGGGAGGGTCTCCTGTTTAAAGACACAGCCATGAAGACGAGTTTGAGAGTTTGGGATACATGGTCCACCTGAACGACATGCCCGATGCACACGAAATGACTGTCCCACCAAATACCGACACACTGTAAACCCTGAAATCTCTCAACAGCAATCATACCCCTCAGACCAGCCAGCTGCGTGCGACATGAAGCATCGAAACCCCAAACCACAAACCCTAAACCCTAAACTCCTGAGCCCCCAGGTGCTGGGGGAGGAGAGCCGTCGCCTGGCCCTGCTCACCCAGGGCCTACCCTCATTGCCGCTGCTGTTCCTGTTCCTGCTTCTTGGACCGCAACTGTTAGAGGGTTTGCAGGCTTCATAGGGTTTACAGGGTTTATAGCTTAAGCGTTGGGATGTTCTAGGGCGCTTTTTGGGAAAGAGGGATCAGGGGCTGGAGTATCCTGGACCTTTGGGCCGTGTGGTCGGGGTAGCCTTGTTTTGGGTTGAAGCCCCGCAGACCTGCTACTCCTCGTCTTAAATGGAGGGAGGAGTTGCAGCATCGGGATGTGGCCCAATATCAACGTGTGTTGAAGCGGTTCACGGGCTCCTGTAAAGTGCGGAGGCTTGGCTCAGACCTTTAGTTGCGAGCGTTTTTGGTCCAATGGACGGTAGCCCTGCAGAGATTCTACAGCGCCTCGGATGCTTGGAAGCGAAGGTGGAGGCAGAGAACGCGCAGCTTCGCTCGGAGCTGCTGAGGTTTAAATACCGGCTCGAGGGCCTTCAGGGCCTTCTGGCTAGGGCCAACGTTCAAGAGGAGCTCTAAGGGTAGTTTTCGTACTTCATGCGGTGCCCCACCTTCTTGACAGGGTTCTGAAGTATGGGCCCTTGGGGTTTAGAGGATAGGGGCATATATATCTATATACAAATGTATGTATTTATTGGTTTAAATAGATAAAAAAAATCAGGGGGCCCCCATTTCCGGGCCCATTATAAGGGGCCAATGCATCTACCTTAAGAGGACCCGGCTGAGCAGACCAGCAGCGTCTCTGAGTCCGTTGAGACGAGCGAAGGGAAGTCTTCGAGCACCCTGAGTACCACGCAGAGCCACCACTCCTTGGAATTCGGGACTGGATTGGCAACCTTTAAACCTTTCTGGTTGTATGGAAATCCTACTATACATACAAACATATATATATATATATGTATATATATATATATGCTCACCCCCCCCCCCCATGATCTAGGTCGAAAGGCCTTTCGGGCCCATCGAAGCGAGATTTAAACCTAAGTCGGAATGAAAATTAAAAGGCCACTGGCCTCATTCGTAGTAAATTTTTTTAAGAAATCTAAATTTGCCAATTAAAAGCCGCACCCTATGAAATCCTCTTCTGGGGCCTGCCTGTCCGTAACAAAATCTCACAAGAGCTTTATATGCAGAGGTTACAGCCTCAGAAATCCTCATCTGGGCTTCCTTCCTATTTTATTGAGAAAATGCTTCTACATAAGAAGCCCACACCCTACGAAAAGAATTCTATACTTAAAGGCCACACCCTATGAAATCCTCTTCTGGGCCCTCTTAATGAAATTTCAGTAGACTTGTGTCTGATAAAGCCACAGCTTCGTTCGTAATTAACCCAAGTAAAAAAACATATTAAGAGGCCCAGCCCCAAGACATCCTCTTCTAAGCCTCATTGATTAATACCTATTTAGAACATTTTTGTTTTTCCCACACCCTGTGAAATCTTTCGCTGGCCCCATTCGTAATGAAACGCAATTTGATTTCATATTGTAAGCCCACACCCTAAGAAATCCTCTTCTGGGCTTCGTTCGTAATTGAACCCAAGTAAAGCAAGTGTATATTCAGAGGCCAACCCCAGGACATCCTCCTCGCAATGAAACCGAGTTAGAATTCTATATTGCAGACCATACCCTATGAAATCCCTTTCTGGCCCCTATTTGTAATGAAGATTAATTAGAATTCTGTATTACAAAGCCACACGCCAAGAAATCCTCATTAGACCTTCGTTTGTAATTAGACTTATTTTCGATTTGCCAAGATGCTTGTATTAAAAAAAGCCACACCATTCTGGGGCCTGTTCGTAACAGAATCTCGTAAGAAGTTTATAATTCTAGGTAAGAAGCCCACACCCTAAGAAGTTCTGACCTAGGCTAGGTTCGTATGTAACTCTTGGACAGAAATTTATATCATGAGCCCCCATTCGTATTTGAATGTACTTACAATTCCATATTTAACCGCTAGACCCTATGAAATCCTCTTCTGGTGCCTATTAGTGAAATGTCTTGTATATGATAAAGCCATAGCTTCGTTAGTAAATTAAACCCAAGTCAAACAAACAAATTAAGAGGCCCCGCCACAAGACATCCTCTTCTAAGCTTCATTGGTTAATACCTATTTGGAATTCTATTTTGCAGACCACACCCTATGAAATTCTCCCCTGGCCTCGCTTCATACTACAATGTTATTTGAGGTTTGTATTAAAACGCCACACCCTAAGAAATCCTCATCTGGACTCGTTTGGAATTCCACTTAAATAGAATTTTAAGTTTAGAGGCCACACCCCTTTGGACAGAATTTAAAAGGCCACACCCTAAGACCTGTGTATGGTAAAGCCACAGCTTCGTTCGTAAAACCAAACCAAGTAAAACAATTAAGAGGCCACGCCCTTCTAAGCCTCATTCGTTACTACCTCTTTGGAATTTTATTTTACCGATCGCACCCTGTGAAAGTCTCCTCTGGCCCCGCTTCGTAATGAAATGTAATTTGAGGTTTGCACTAAAACACCACACCCTAAGAAATCCTCAACTGGACTTCCTTTGTGATTCCACTTAAATAGACGTTTAAATTAAGAGGCCACACCCCAAGACATCCTCTTCGAAGCCCCACTCTTTTTTAAGTCCAATTAGATTTTAGAATTGCAGGTCCACGTCCTCAAAAGAACCACACCCTAAGAAACCCTCTCTATTTCTTTTTTTATTACTTTTCATATTAAGACGCCACATCCCAAGACATCCTCTTCTAAGCCTCATTCGTAATTAAATCTAATGGAACTTTACATGTTAACGCCACGCCCTGCATACCGAATAGGCTGAATTGAAAAAAAAACGAATGGTGGGTGTGTTTGTGTGCTTTTCTCTGTGTGTGTGTGTGTGCAAGGCAGTCACATTAGCAGAAACAACGTATAACAATACACAATCTTTATACAAGAAAAGCATTTTTTTGCAAAATTTGCTTTAAAAAAAAAATCCAAAAACCCAAAAACTCAAAACCATGGAGCCGGGAGGCCGCCTTTTTTGGGTTTTTTGGTTTTCTCGAGGTTTTTTTTGGGTTTTTTTAGAAAAATCCAAAAAAAAACATCGGTTTTTTTGGAATTTACTTGCTCCTGGCCTCAAAAACCTAAAAACACATGGTTTTTTTGGATTTTGAGTGAAAATCCAAAAAAAACCATGTGTTTTTTTAGTTTCTGAGACCAGGAGCACCTGAAATCCAAAAAAAACACGAGGGTTTTTTGGATTTTCACTCAAAATCCAAAAAAAACATGTGTTTTTTAGGTTTTTGAGGCCAGGAGCAAGTAAAATCCAAAAAAAACCATGGTTTTTTTTGGATTTTTCAAAAAAAAACCAAAAAAACCTGGAGAAAACCAAAAAATCCAAAAAAGGCGGCCTCCCGGCTCCATGGTTTTGAGTTTTTGGGTTTTTGGATTTTTGGATTTGTGTCAAAATTTGCAAATTCTGCAAAAAAGAAGTGTTTTTTGCATACAATTCTGTGTTTATAAGCCTGTCCTATGCAAATAATTCATAGACATGTTTACCAAATTGCATTTTCCTGTGTTTTTGGGGTGTTTTTTTATGTGGTGATGTGGAAGTAGTGCTAAACACACGCGTTTTTCACTATTTACAGGTTTTCTCGCATAGGACTAGACGTGCAAAAACAGGACATCGCCTAGCATAGCCAGCATGTCATTTTAATCGGTATTTACGAGGGTTTTTATAGGGACAAAGCAAAACCTAGATCATGGGGGGGGGGGGGTGACCATATATATATAAGGTTAACCTTTTTGGGCTAGGGTATTCAGCCCCCAAGGAATCCTCCTTCTGGGATGCCCTGCTTTTGGCGGGTCTGGACATGACCGGCCGAGTGGGAACACTGATTATCCTCCTGGGCGTGCTGGTCAGTGCCAGCCTACAGCTGCTTTCCATCTGGATTGTTTTCAATTTCTTTCTGGACAAGGATGACAAGTACAAGCTGGGCGACTTGCGGGACTGGCGTGTTTTGTACGGGCACAACATCGACTACCTGGACTCCGCGGCTGGGTCTTCGCTAGTTGCGAAGATGTGCAAGGGGGGCCTGGTTGACCGCGTGTGGTGGCAGTTCCAATTGCTGGACGAGGTGAACAAGTACCTCCATCCCTTGTTCCCAGGTGCCGATGGCCTTGGTGTTGGGGTTGTATTGTCCAGCATTGCTTTGACCATCTGGATTTTCAGCATCACTGCGGAGTTGAAGAGCATCTGGGACTTTGCCTGGTCCATCTGGCGACTGCCCTGCAGAGAGACCCTGGTTAACACAGTCAGCCCGGAAGATCGGGTCTTGCAGAGCATCAGCTGCGGCCGCCTCGGCATGCTGACTGTCATGCTAATGGTACGCACGGGTATCGCGGTGATGCTGGGCGTGGCCGGAGCGCGTTGGCTCGCAGTTACCCCGGACGTCAAGGATATCTTGCTCAATGCCGTCGCTCTGCTGTTTATTCTGGAGATTGACGAGCTCCTTTACAAGGTGCAGAGAACAAACAATCAGCAAAAACAAAGCAGTCACAGCAACCAGCTGACACTTCAAGACTCGTTCAAAAGCTTCTTCCTTGCACTGCCGACTGAGTTTCCCGCAGGTGCTGGCGCCCAAGCACGCCATCAAGCTCATGTCTTCGTTTCGCGCGCTCCCACTTGGCGACCGAAAGACTTGGGCAGGAGCGCAAATTTCCATTTAATTAATTCATGTCTCCAGAGTACTTTACGAAGCTGCTTCACACGTCGTTGTCCCATAGCCTATAGTTGCACCTGTTTTCTAAAAGCTGTTTTTGCAGTAGTGTGTCTTGATGGATATGCGAAAGACTTAATGGCGCTCCTCCCCAAAATAGCTTCAATAAGCAGGAGTGGATGTCTACTGCATTCTGAAACTCTTCATGCTGACCCTTTTCCTCGCCCTGTTCATCGGGCGCAACGTCGTCCACAATGCCAAGGAAGCCCAGCAGGCTAGAGACATCCTCTGCGGCGGCAACCAGGATTTCGTGTACGGCATCCATCCGGAGCTCGGCCTCGTTTCTGTGGCTGACACGAAGCCATTCAAGCCGCACGCAGGCTTCGCGATTCCCGGGATGCGTGAGGTGTTGGATGATGTGGTTTCAAACTACGATGTGGACGCGTTCGTGCGAGTGGGCGGTAGTTGGGGCAGGGTCAAGGAGGATGATGAAAGCCCGATAATTCTGCGCAACGACGATGGGGTAACTCAACTGTCAGACTGGGTGAAATCACCCCTGAACTCAGTCGCTGGTATGCCTGTCGCTTGTCGTGATCAAGAGATGGACGGCATCATGTACTATCCCGGGAGCGAAATGCCTGTGTGGGGGCCTGGAATTTCTACGTTTGCTGCCTTTAGCAGCTGGGCGTGGCAATCTTTGAGGGCGATGACAGGCGCCAGCAACTGCACCCAAGCAAGGCCCTTCTGCGACGACCTCGCCATGCCATTGGTGCGTATTTTGTGCCCGGACACCTGCGGCTGCAACACAGCAGACAGCGGCATCACATTTGACTACGGTTGCCTCGAGCACTGCAGAGGTAGGGTGGAGTCCTTCAGGCAAAGTTTGGAAGAGGCCCCGTGCCAGGACTTCATGGGCGAAGCGCAACGCCAGCAGGCATGGCAGCGCTTCTGGACGGGATATTGGGCGAGCGACAGTGACGAAGCCAGGCTGTGGCAAAGTTTGCGGGGGAACTGTAGTGTTGTCCCTGTTCCGAGGTTCTGCAACTTCTATCCCTGGACGCATCACGGGCAGCGCGATGTGAAACTTCGCCCCCTGACTGCTCTCTGCCCAGAGACATGTGGCTGTGCCGAAGCAGGCTCTGTCACATGGTGCCCCAAAAGTTGCTTGCGTGGGAATGAGGCTGCCTGAGGCGATAGCCAGAGAGAAGCCAAGGAGGCCTTACTTCAGGCGGAGTGGGAGCACTGAGATCGACCCCTTGCGCATCCTTGTGCTTGGTGCCAAAGTGCAGCAAGCGAGCTTCCCGAAGAAAGCCTGCACCTGTCAGCGTGTTGTTGGTAAACACGGCTCGGCCCTAGACCCTAAACCCTAAACCCTAAACCATAAACCCGGCAGCTCTTCTTTGCTTTGCTGCCATCCTGTCCCTCTCCCCTTCCCTGGTCATCCCAACAGCTTCAGGGTCTGGCCTACCTAGGCCCTGAAGGGGTTAGGGTTTAGGGTTTAGGGTTTAGGGTTTAGGGTTTATAGGGTTTAGGGTTTAGGGTTTAGGGCTCATTGCTTCCTTATACAGTTCACTTTCTGCCAGAAGAGTCTCCAGCTTCAAGCGCGAGGTTGAGCATGCGAGTCTTCGCACATGCTGCAGCTCTGACAGCCCCTGGGCCATGAGAATGTGGGTAAGAATGTGCTTGTGACCTAAAGGGTGGTTTCCGAAATTCGGGTACCTTATTGGGGTCCTTATTTTAACAGGGAATCCCAATCTTTGGGGGTCTGTTGTAGGGGCCCCCCAAAATTTTCGTAAACCCCAAAAAGGTTTTTCATTGGCCGAACCCACACCCGTCCGAAGCCTGAAGACAGCGTGTTCCACCTTTTTAACAGTCCTTAATGGAGATCATAGTCGGGGGTACTATAAACCATAATCCCTGGGGGGTTGGGGGGGGGGGGGGGGGAACACCCCCAAACCCTAAGCCCTAAGCCCTAACCTAAACCCTAAACCCTAAACCCTAAAGCAGAAACCCTAGATCAAGATAGGTAGTTTCCTGGAGGCTTTGAACGCTCGGGACATTCTCGGCAGCTGCCCCCCATAAGCTTGAAGATGCTAACGGTTTAGGGTTTAGGGCTTAGGGTGTAGGGTTTAGGGTTTAGGGTTTAGGGTTTAGGGTGTTTTAGGCTTTAGGGATGAGTGGGGGAAAGCATCACGGGGGCCTGCAATCTCCATGTGCCCTGGAAGCTTCTAAGGAGAAGTGCCGGTCTATCCCGGCTTTCGTGAACCAAATACCGACGCAAGGGTGCATCTTGGATCGCGAGCACTGGATCTTCAATCCCCACCCAGAAGTCCACAGCATCTGCTTAAGGAGTCCTTGAACAAGTGCAAGAACAAGAGAGGCTGCCCAAAGTACCCATTCTACTTAGGCCTGGCCAGGACTTGCCCGAGCGACACTAACCTCAACGCCGAAACTCAACCAACTGCGCGCCGCACAAGCCGGAAAGATATTCCAGACACATCATTTGTTTAATGCACATGTATGTGCAGTTCTCTTTCAGCCCATAGAATTCTATACATATGCACACACACACACGTATATATATATATATATATATATATATATATATATATACGTATATGTCTGTATCCGGCTGTTGTGGCAGCAGACCCACGCCCCAAGCCCCTGAGCGGCATCGCGGCAAGGTTGTGACCCCAGTCGGCAGTACTTGGTGCACTTCATCGCCGACAGCGCTGCTGGCTTCACAGTGCTCAACATGAAGGCGGGTTTGCGAGTTTAGGGTTTAGGTTTCGGGATATATGCAGGAGATGAAAGGAGCTATGAGTGAGAATGAGAGTATGCCAAGTAAGTGGCAACAATTCATCTACTTTGTCTTTAGCAGCACTCAGAAGATCATCAGAGGGCCCAAGCAAGACCTATTAAATAGAGGAGCACGATTGAAAGGAGTTCGCAACAGCAATTGTCCAAGAGCTGCAGAAATTATTGTCTTACCGGCCAAACGTCCTTGTAATCAGAGAGCACAAAGTTTATATGCACACTCTCACTTTGTTTGCTTGTTCATATGAAAGGCATGCGAACGAACAGGGCCCTAAACCCTAAACCCTAAACCCTAAACCCTTCTGCACACAGAGTTCAGCGCAGCCGTGCCCAGTGTCTCTCGCAGCATGGGCTCACGCTTGCGTGAGTTCTGTGAGGTGACGGCAGAGATGTGCCCTGGCATTCTACTGCAAGGTTGTGTGCTACTATTATATTCTTGCAGTGTTATATGATGATATTCTGGCATGATTCCTTGCATTATTGTATGATTATGTGCTTGTTGCTGGCTTAGAGCGGCCCACGAATAATTACGCCGCGTGGCAGCAGTCGACTAAGGCTGGTGAGGCAAGCCTCGTTCTTTTCCAGCGTTCTCTCCTGCCTGCTCGGCGTGTTGTCCACGCTCCTCTGACGGCCACAACTTCTTTAAGCAGCTTACTATGTGCTTCTGATATCTGCTTAATATTCTTAGATTCTTAAGCAGCTTACTATGTGCTTCTGATATCTTATTAATATTCTTAGATTTTTATATTCGTGCAATTGTATATTGGTATAGTCTTATATGCACAGCTGCACAAATTAGAGGGCGGCCAGCTCCTTAGGCTTCTGGGCCCTGCTTTCGCCTTGGTGCTTGGAATTGCTTGGCGCAGGGGTTTTGGGGCTTTAGGTTCAGGGTTCAGGCTTAGGGTTTAAGGGTTTTGGGTTCCCGGACCCAACATGCCCCACGGCTGCAAGTGCTTCTCCATGGAACTTTTTGACTCCCTCGCCCTGGTTGGGCTGGGGAACACCTGGCTGTCCTTCTGCTTGCAGGATTCCAGCAATCCACATCCGCAATCCACACCGCTGCCTACCTTGGTGTAGCCCAACATCTGGCAAGTCCAGCCCTGTAAGCCCTATGCACCCTGACCATCACCCTCTACACCCTGAACCCAAAAAGCTTCCGCCCTCCCCACCCCACCCACGCAGACCCAGAGGTGTTCTCTAGCTACCAGGGTTTCCGAATTCACACCGCAAGATGCGATGCCACACGCTGCATGGACCAGGGCCTCAGTTGCGAGGATGAGGAAGGCATTTTAAGACAGGAGCCGAAATACTTACACCAACAGTCTCCCAAACAGAATTCGTTTGTAGACAGACAAGTAGTTTAGGGTATAGGGTTTGCCTATTCTTCGATTCGTGAGGTGACTTCCCATAAAGTTCTAGGAAGCACTTCAAAACTGGAGCTACAATTACGGGGTCCCTGTAATCATTATATGGATGGGTGAGGATCAGGGTTTAGAGTTTAGGAAGGGAATTGGGTTTTGGTTTTTGGTTTAGTTTAGGGTTTAGCAAAACAAGGGTGACCTACCCATGATTTTGAAAGCCCCGTGCCCCGAGCAGAAGGGACAAATACTGCGATTATCTGGTGGGGGCTCAGGAAGGGCTGACCCGCAACGAGGACCCCTCAATCGCTGCAAGCAAACGCTGCAGGGCGGTTACGTGGGAAGTCTTCGCAGTCGAAGGCTGGTAAGTTGAGAACTCCCACACGTTTTTCCCTGCAGCTTCTTGCCGGCAGCTGAGAAATAAGGCACTTCGCAGGCACGTTAGAGCATTCTACACCAAAGGTTGCAGATTAAACGTACTACATGAAGGTCAATGGCATTTCCAAGCCTTCGCGATAAGAGATGAAGGGCAGAGTTCGAAGCGCCTTCATCCTTTTGGTTTGCAAGAGCCCTTCATCTTCTTTGGAAGCCCTGGAAATGGCCCACGAACTTGGCCCTTAACCCCTAAACCCTAAACCCTAAACCCTACACCCTAAACCAAACCCTAAACCCTATGCGGGGTTTTTGGGTGATTGTTGTGACGGGAGGGCTCCCAAGCTTCAGTGCAGGACGAAGATGACGAGCTCTACAGCGATGAGCTGAGGACTGCTGGGCGGTTCCTGGGGTTTAGGAGTTTAGGGTTTAGGGTTTTAGGGTTTAGGGTTTCGGGTTTAGGGCTTTAGGGTTTAGGGTTTAGGGTTTAGGGTTTAGGGTTTAGGGGCATTGGACAAAAAGAAGGTTTCGGGTTTAGGAACCAAGGGTTTAAGGTTCAGGGTTGGGTTGCATTCTGTGTTACAAAGGCGTCATGGAGCATGCAGTCCTGCACGCCCATCAGTCTGGGATCGGACGGTCATCCCACGTCCCTTGAGCTACACAAGGCCGCAAGTTGTCCCAACTAGCCTATACGTCTCAGCCGGCTGGGTAGGAGGGCGCAAACATCCGAACACCCCTCCCCGGCCAGTCCTACGCAAGATGAACATGAAATCGTACCCCTTTTCCACCCCAAATTGAATAGAGTCTCCTGAAAGGACCCCCAAAAGAGTACCCCTATTTTCGGAAACCCCCATATCTGCACAAATCTCTAAACCCGCAGAGAGTCGAAGCCCCCCCTCACAGGCCCGGCGACGCCAAGGGCAAGCGGGCCGCGAGCCACGCCCTGAGAGTTTAGGGGTTTACTGGGCCCTTTTTTTGGTTATAATCGTAGATTTTTGTCAAAGTTACTAAAACGGGAACAACAAGGATAGCTTTTAATATGCCCCCCAACAAGGAGGCAGTTTAGGGGTTGATAGGGTTTAGGGTTGGCGCAGTGGCTCTCCAAGCCTGCAAAAAAAAGGGTTTAAGGTTTAGGGCCTAGGGTTTAGGGTTTAGGGTTTAGGGTTTAGGGTTTAGGGTTTAGCGAGGGTGCTGGGGGGAATTTGGCAGCTCCGGGAGGGCGACGGGGTTCGCAACGTGCTGGGACATGCTTACATTTATCTCAATCAAGTCACTGTTGCATATACGTTGCCATGCCGGCATCAGGTCTAAATACCATAAGGGGCGTGATTCCCATGGCCCACAGCGGTTTCAATAGTGTAACGGCAGACGCACCAAATAAAGGAGACAGGACAGTCTGTTGTTTTTCTTCTCGTTCTGAAGTACCCGGACGAAGCAGCCTTGGCAGACGCTGCTGTGGCGACAGAGCTGCCAAATCCGTGTGTATCTGTCTGACGTGGTACATGAAGCGTTTCGCCGCACGCAGAATTGCCGGTACCGCAAAAAACCACCGAGAAGAGATGCTGATGGAGCAGGTCATAAGCCAGCCACTGATATGCAGGGATCCACCTAACGAAGGCTCTAACGTGGGATGAGGGACTAACAGTCCTTAATCGGGATGAGAGTAGGGGATCCCTATGAAGGACTGTTAGACTCATAGGGGGGTGCTACTAATCCATATTAAGGACTGTTAATATAAGGGGGAACATCCCTGAACCCTAAACCCTAAACCCTAAACCCTAAACCCTAACCCCTAAACCCTAAACCCTAAACCCTAAACCCTAAACCCTAAACCCTAAACCCTAAATCCTAAACCCTAAACCCTAAACCCTAAACCCTAAACCCTAAACCTATTCTAGTCTTAGGGGGGAACCTCCGAAATCTAATCCTACAAGCCTCATTTGGGAAGCCACGCTTCGACCGAACTCCCGACCACCCCCGCAGGGAAGGATTTAGGGTTAGGGTTTAGGGTTTAGGGTTTAGGGTTTAGGGTTTAGGGTTTAGGGTTTAGGGTTTAGGGTTTAGGGTTTAGGGTTAGGGTTGTTGCTCAGATTACAGCTCAAAGTCCGAATCCCCCAGTCCACTCTCCCACCCTCACAGGCTCTGCCATCGTGTGAGGGAGCAATGGACAAGTGCTTTATGGCACTGGAGCCTTTCTGATGCCTGGGCGCATGCTCTTCTGGTTTTCATAAGCCATAGAAGCAATGAGGCTGAAGGTTGGGTTTAGGGTTTAGGGTCTAGGGTTTAAAGTTTAGGGTTTAGGGTTCCTGGTTCACAATTAAAAATTGGTGGGTTTGTAGGATCGACAGGTTTCGGGTTTAGGTCTTAGAGCCTGGAGATTGAAACTGAAAAGTTGACGGGTTGCAGGGTGTAGACATTTCAACTTGGGGCTGCGGAGCAGAGCCCATTTTGAGGGTTATAGGGTTTGGGGTTCAGGGTTTATAGGGTTTAAGGCTTTTAGGGTTTAGGCAAAAAATGCGTTCAATGCATGCAGACCATTGAAGCCCGATTTCAGCTGGCACTATTGAGAGGCTCGGAACCCGAGAACACAACCTAGCGAGATGGACGGGAGAGGTTTGGCTTCCTTGTGGCTTCAGGGGCCTTCGTAACCTACGCATTGGGATGCTCCCCCTTATTTATACTAACAGTCCTTAACAGGGATAATAGTACCCCCTACTATAGTCCCTATTGCATCAACCTTCGCCGCAAAGGCTTGAGGTTCGTCACAGGCATGTGATTCAAGGCCTTGCAGGGTGTTGGCACGTTTCATCTTGGGACTCGAGACAACACTACAAAAAAACCCATTCTGCACCGCCAGGTGCGCGGGCAAAAGGAACCTGAACCGCTCGAAACCCTAAGCCCTCACAACCCTAAACCCTAAACCCTAAACCCTAAACCCTAAACCCTCGGAGTGCTTCAGGATGTGCCAGGCTGCAGCCCTCCACCCAGTTGTCAACAGCCGTTCTCATTGTGCCCGACCTCGATCCGAACGCTATCCATCTCGGCTTTTGGAGATTCCCCCCGCAAGGGGGAGATGACACCCCGCCACAGTGAAAACCCCGTAAGCTCAATTCCAGGGTTTAGGGTTTAGGGTTTAGGGTTTAGGGTTTAGGGTTTAGGGTTTAGGGTTGGTACTTGCAGTCAGCGTGTCGCCTGCTGAAGCTGTCACTACCAGCAGGAACAATAGAAAGCCCTAAAAGAGCCCGCCTGTTCTTTGCCCGGCCCTTACGCCTCTGCGGAGATCCAACATGGCCCAATGGCGGCTGGCTGATGCATAGTCCAAGTCGCACATCCCTAAACCCGAAACCCGAAACCCTAACCCCTAAACCCCCTAACCCCCCCAAACTAATTCCCACACTAAACTGTAGCTCCCAACCCAGGGAGACTCGTTGTTCAGGCCAGGGTGGTGTCTCCCCGGCTTTTCGAAGTTTTCCTTGGCAAAGCCTGGTGCAGGGTGAGCTGACTGCTTGAGGTGTCTTGAGGCAGTATGTACGCCGGTCGTACGACGCAGAATCTCCCCAAACCCTAAACCCTACACCCTAACCCTAAACCCTAAACCCCTCCGCGCAAGAGCCCCCGTATCCCCCGACTCTTCAAGAGAGAGTCGATGCCAAAGCTTCGAAGACGTTGCAACAGCTAATTTGCTTAAGACCCCCCCCCAATTTAAAAGCAGACATAAGCAAATAATCCCTATATTGCCCTTATGAAGAAGAGCGTTTTAAACAATTGTTGGGGTTCTTAAGCTATTAGTAGTAGCTGGAACACAAGGCTCCCACAGCAGCTCTTGCACAACAGAAGTTTCTTGAGATGCTCATGCCCACACACACATAGGTGCACTCACGCTCAAGCACTCACTTTCGCTTATGATGCCCACCTACACTTCGACAGTCGCAGAAGGAGAGAAGTAGCGGTGAGAGGGTGTGAGAGTGTGAGAGTGTGAGAGAGTAGAGTGGCAGCTTACCATATTCTTCCTCGCATCACAATCGCCCAAACCCCTGAACCAGGAATCCAAAACATCCCAACATGGCCCCTTACAGACCCCGAAGCGTTGGACTCGGTGCGGTCTGGTATCCGCATTTTCTCAGCTCCCCATGCGCTGCTGGCGGCAGTGAGGATCTGCCGCGGAGCTTTCACAAGGTTCGCTCAGGCCGGCATTGCTGTGATGTGCCACTCTTAAACCCTAAACCCTAAACCCTAAACGTTCAGGTTTGAGGCGTAGGCCCAGAGCATCCAAAGCTTAGAGCTTGGGGAGGCGTTCCCCTACGTCGGTTCTGCCTGTTGGGAATGTGGATTCTTCATGGCATCCGGCCAGTATTCATTGAAGGGTAAAGATGGTAAGTGGTGTGTGACTACAGTAGCGCTCTGAGACCCCACTGCTGCGGTGATAAATATCAACTGATGATCCACAAGGTATGAGAAGTTCTTCAGTGATCAAGAACTTTGGACCAAACATCTTCAAGCATGTCAGCCTAAGACTGCATCCTACCTCTAAGAGTGATGACTTGGGAAGGACCTGGCCTTCGGGCAGCCACAATGTACGAAACTCATGAACACATTGAAGGCTCACAGGGCCTAGGTCTATATCGCCAAGGGTCCCCCTAATCCTGTCCCCTAATGATCCTAATGGGCTCATGCATCGCTTCACCCTAAACCCTAAACCGTAAACCCTAAACTCTAAACCCTTGCATCGTTTCGACTAGAGCTGCGGCCAAGCGATCCTCTCCTCTCGACATGGTCGAGCATGCGATGGAAAAGCGTGACACGCCCGAGTCGAGCATTGCTGGTCTTTGTCAAAGCTGTGTGGGGGCTGAGTTTAGATCGAGTCTTTAGGTTTGGAGCTTCGGATCTACCAAGGTTTCCCTAAGTCTTGGTACTATTCTTTGGGTGTTTGAGGAGTGCCGAATTCACAAGGCATGGAGCAGCCTTTTCTCTTAGTATTCTTGCCCTAAAGCCTAAACCCTCAACCCTCAAACTTGTTTGCTCAGGGACAGGCACTTCTCTGGCTCCTAAAAGGCTTGGGCCGGGGCTTGAATCTGTCGGTCCTTCTGGATGCCGGCCTCAACAACCCGTATTCCTTCCGCGGCTCAGCAAACACCACCACAGAACCCAAACCCGTAACCATATGGCATCCTCCTTTATTTCGACCCTAAACCATAAACCCCAAACCCTAAACCCCAAACCCTAAACCCTAAACCTAAAACCTACATCCCGTTTTGCCCCCCCTGCTTCCTGCGACTTGTGGGCCACGCCATCATTCAGCTTCTTCAGGCCAGTTCCGACCCAGCCTGGCCCAGACCAACAACTTAACCCTAACCTCTAACACCTTAGGGTTTGCGTTTAGGGTTTGGGTTTAGGGTTTAGGGTTTAGGGTTTAGGGTTTAGGGTTTAGGGTTTAGGGTTTAGGGTTTAGGGTTTAGGGTTTAGGGTTTAGGGTTTAGGGTTTAGGGTTTAGGGTTTAGGGTTTAGGGTTTAGGGGTTTCCGGACAGGCTTCAGAGGTCCGTGTTAAAACAAAGGGGTTTCGGGTTTCAGGGTTCGGACAGTGTCAGAGTGTCGATCAGTGGCTCTGCGGCAGCGGCGACGGCTACGCTCCCCACAGGCTTGGCTAGGAGTTGATGTTGGGTGCTGGCTTAGAGAGTTTGGGTTCACAAAGGGTTGCGTGCATCCAGCGACCGGCGTGGACCTTTGGGTGTCATTCTAAGGGGTTCTCGGGTCGAGGGCATCGACAAAAACCTTCCCAAATAGCAAAGCCTGAAGCACTGTGACTTAAAGCAAGACTATGTTGGGTCGTGTCGCCCTTGCTAGGGAAGTCTTACGAACTGTTAGATCAAAAACCCTCGGCAAGCATCACGATCCGTGTCGGGAGACTCTTGCAGGGGTTCAGGATTGCAGGGTATGTACGCACATGACACATACCTGACACCATTGCTGGGCATGGTCCGCCACAGCTTTCGCTACTGGGAGTCCACCTTCCAGCTCGTTGGAGGAGATAGACGGCACTGGAAGACGAACCCTGGATTATCGTTCAAGCTTTAAATGAGCAAAGCCTGGCACATATGCAGCAGTTTAGGCTTTCAGCTCTGAGGGCTTGCTAAGGCTTTAGGAAAGAGGGTGTTGGGTAGCATTGGGCTTGTTTATGTGAAGGCTTAGCCTGGCAAAGGAGAAGACGTCTCTAGTCAACCTAGCAACAGTGAAGTCTTACTTACCCTGCCTCTTCCTCGACGTAGATCCCGCTACTTACTTCTTGAAGTAGTTGGGGCTAGCGTTGGGGCTACTTGAAGGGGAGGATCACACCAGGATGGGCTATTAGGCCTTATAATCCCCATAACCAACCCTCTAAAGGGCCTTCTTGACGGAGGGGTTCATCCCTGGTATCCCATGGAGAACCGGCCGTTAGAAGTGGAGGATGTCATAGCTGCGGTGCTGGACGCCTCCAACCATTTTGCAGCTCTTCTGCTGCCACTTCGGGCGGCCTCCGCGCGCCTGGTGAGGAGGCAGTACCTTCGGGATTCTTGGAAATATTTTTTTTTCGTTTGGGTACGTTTAAATTCCTAAGAAACAGCTAAACATAGAAGTTCAGTATAGGTACCTGCGACTTGCCCTGACAATCCACCCAGACAAATGCAGCCTGCCTGAAGCCGCGGAGGCCTTCAAGCGCATGTCTGATGCCTTCAGCGCCTTGGTAGCCCAGCAATGTTAGGGTTTAGGGTTTAGGGTTTAGGGTTAGGGTTTAGGGTTTAGGGTTTAGGGTTTAGGTTTCGGGTTTAGGGTCATTATGGCCGCCAAGGCGTGTTACATGACCTAGCGTCCCAGGCAGAGCACCTGTGCGTGGCAGAGGGGGGAAGCGCACCCAAGACGGTCAGAGCACGCAAGCCATCTGCCCAGCCACCACCGGCATCCAAGTTCGGGAGTGGAATCTGGGGTGCTGGCTTCGGATTACGCCTCGGAGTTTGGAACGTCGTCGGGGTGGAAAGATGTACTCCGAAAGACGTTACGGACGCTGTTGGCACTGCGGTACAACTGGAGCACATGCGATTGGTGGTGAGCCTAGCCCGTGGCGGCTCGATGAAAGGATGTGTACCGACCGATTGCTGGACAAGAAGTGGAAGAATGGATGGTCCGGGTACGCCGACTTTAATCGAGTTGCCCTTGGATGTGCACAGTGACCGTTGGCTCATTGAGGATATTCTTCACACATCCTCGCACAAAGCGCCGCTGATTCAGTTCTGGCGAGGCAAAGAAATGCTGGAGATTGCCGCAGGCGAGAGGGAGCAAGGGAATACTTGCCTGCAGGCCATGATCTCCCATGTGTCAAGCGCAGTGGGTGCCACAGGAGCGCCCAATGGAATTCGCGTCCTGAGGGAGTTTCTGGCAGGACGACTGCCAGCTTCAGGTGCTTAACACCCCTATCATTACTAGCCCTAAGCCCTAAACCCTAATTAAACCCTAAACCCTATAAACTCCATAGGCCCTAAACCCTAAACCAGCTTCAGGTGCTCCTGTATTTGGTTGGCTTCACTTGTGGATCGGCACGCATCGAGACGGCGACTGGGCAGAAGAGATGGATCTGCGTCTGGGACAACGCATGTGGGGCGCTTCGTCTTTTCAGCGACAGCTTCCCCAACCCGACGCAGCAGTTGGAAATGAAGACAAGGAGGCACCTGTCGAGGTGGCTCATGCTTCAGACAGCCTACCAGCTGTTCCTTCGGTACTTTCTTTGGACTGGCAGTCGTGGATAGCAGTGCAGATGGCGAGAGAGATCTGCCTGCGGACGCCAGCCTGCACTGCTATCATCGAATTCTGTCGCGGACCTGGGGAAGGAAACCAACACGTATTTGAGGCACCCATAAACGATCTTTGAGCGTTTTGAGGTTGTTAAGTTTGGCAACATAGTAGCGGCTCTTTTGGGGTTTGGACCTTGCGCTTGTTGTTCTTTGGGTGTTGAAGAGAGGCACTGTCACTGAGTTCGTCTGTGCCGAGCCTCACAACTGGCGCGTCGCTCCAAAAACCGTCGAAGCAGCAACTTCGGCAAGGCCTGTCTGTTGCACTGGCGGTGCACGTCGAGCCTGAAATCATTGTTAGGAGATGTTCCTATGAAGAACTTGACCTGTGGTTGGGACTACCACAGCAATAATGGGATCTTGTTAGGGAAATCAATAGTAAGTTGCCATAGTAAGAGAAAAGGAAAAGATATAATATAGTCGACTCGTTATGGTAGCGTGCTGCAAGTTCCTGAAAAAGACCTTCGCTGACCCAGGAGAGAGAAGGTGGAACAGCACTGGATTGCTCCGTGTCTTTGGACGATTTCGTCGACCTCAGTGCTGGCGGCACGGAAGTCAACGTCTTCTGGGAGCTTTGGCGGTCTGACGCCAAACAGTGGTGGATCATTCGTGTTACCCAAGATCAGTTGGCTGTGGCCCTGAAGCAAACGATAGGGAGATCCTTCCAAGACTTCTGCAAGGCCACTTCTGCATTTGGAGGGCGCTGTGTGGATCACGCAGATATGATGCTGTGCCCTTGGAGTCAGCAAACGGCCAGGGGGGAAGGGGAGCATGGCTCGCACAGGCTTGATGACATAAGGATACAGATAAAGTATACAGCAGTGTTACATCTTCTGCTAGACGTGCCGGCGACAGCAAGATAGCAACGCAAGGGCGGGCATGATTTGCATGCGCTGGCAGACTAAATATCATATAGTGTGCGACTGAAGACTCAGTCGCCAAACCGCGTACAAGCTCGTCCCATGATGGAAGTTCGGCATAGTAGCTGGGGAGGGAGCCAGTAACCTTTGGGGTTATTCCATACAATCCTACCAGAATTGCAAGGTTATGCTTTTTTGGCCCAGGGTACTCAGCAACTGGGTTAGTGTAGGGTTGAAAGGTGCGCGCTTGGGGTCCTGATGATTGAGCCTTGGGGGCCTTGTAAGTTGTTCCCTTTTGAACCCTAAACCCTAAACCCTAAACCCTAAACCCCTCAATTTCCTAGGCCTTCGAACCTGGCTGCGTAGATTCTAAGGGCGAAACCATGGGCCCGTAGTGTGGGCTCTTAGCCTTCTTTACCGGGATCCAAAGGATAAACCCTAAACCCTAAACCCTAAACCCTAAACCCGAAGTATGGGCCCTTCGACATGGGCAGGCGATGATTGGGCGCCAGGCTTGTACCGGCCGGCGATGCAGGGGACTTGGGGTTTAGGGTTTAGGGTCTAGGGTTTAGGGTTTAGGGTTTAGGGTTGCAGCAGTCTTCGGGCTAATGGCCTGTTTGGGGTTGATAGGGATTATAGGCTTACAGAGTTTATATGGGGTTCATAGGCTTTATGGGGTTGAGAGGGTCTGATAGGGTTGCACCGCCCAAGAAGCCTGTAAAGAGGCAGGTGGAGCCAACCCAAAGGCTGGCCAAAACAGCGCCCCCAGACCCTAATACTCCATACTAAACCCGGGTGCAGTGCGTTTGGCCAAACAACAGACCCTGAGACCCAGACCATGAAACCTAAACCCTTAACCTTCAACCCTCAACCCTCAACCCTAAACCCTAAACCCTAAACCCTAAACCCTAGACCCTAGACCCTAAACCCTAAACCCTAAACCCTAAACCCTAAACCCAACCCCTAATCCTGACCATGAGCCATGGGATAAGGCCCAGAGCTGACCATGAAACGAGCTGACGTGAGCTTCCGGGCCCGCATGACTCGGCCGCGTCGCCCGGAGCCGGTGCTCTGGTTCTCTCCGCAGGGCTTAGGGTTTAGGGTTTAGGGTTTAGGGTTTAGGGTTTAGGGGTTCTCCGCAGGGCCTTAGAAATTTTAAGGGGCTAGACGCGAAGCACGAAGAATCAACCTGATTGCCCCAAAATTCTAAACAAGCCCAAACCCTAAACTGCAAGATGCAAGGGGGCTGTACAGGGGTGAACTTCGCCCCCGGGGTTCGGAAGGAATGGTTTAGGGTTTAGGGTCTCGGGTTTAGAGCTTGAGGGTTTAGGGTTTCGGGCAGTCAGCAAGGCCAGCTTCAAAAAGGGTTTAGGGTTTCTGTGGGTTCAGTCCAGCTTCCGCCTAAACCCTCAACCCTAAACCGCCAAGCTGCAGCCCGCTTTGCTCCGTGCAATTCGGCTTGAGACTCTGCCGTCTGTTTTTGTGATGGGGTAAGAGGCGCACAACCGTCTAGAGTCAGAATCCTTGGGCCAACCATCGCATAGGCTGAAAGTGCTGCGGTTGTGCAGTGTAGACCTCTGCAGTCGCTACTGCTCCCGATGTGATGTTGGGTTTAGGGTACAGGGTTGGGTGCCCATACCCCCAGCTGAGTGACAAAGTGGCTCTGTCTTATCGTGCCACGAGCTTTGCTCGGGTGTGCACAAAAAATTCGGTTTCCAGAGAAGCGCAGACGACTCGGAAAAGCCAAGCCGGGTTCTGGGCTTCTGTTGTGGGGAGGATCATTTCGCCACTCCAAGAGGCTCTTGTAAGGGCTGAGGGTCACCCAACAAGGCCGCCAAGGCGGCAGGCCCATCTCTGCAATAGGTTTCCTGGGGCCTTGCTTGCCTACGTGCTTGGAGCTGTTCCTTCAGTCAATCTTGCACAGCACTCGTGAGAGAAGACTCCGCCTGCGACAGGAAAGTCTGCCATCGCGACATCAAGCCAGAGCACATCCTGTTCAAGGCACCCCAAGTCCCCAGCCCCGTCCCCTAAACCCCGAACCCTTAAACCCTTAAACCCTTAAACCCTAAACCCCGAACCCTTGAAGTCTACTATGTGCCCTGACCTAAACCCTAAATGGCTCTTGACATCACGAGACGACTCTAGGATCACCTGGGATAAGCACCATGGGCCAAGGCTGAGGAATTGAGCTAGCATAGGGGGGGGAGCTTCCAAGGGTTAGGGAGACCTTCTTGCGCCGAAGGACCGAACGATGTGGGACAGATAAGCCTTGACAGCTAAGCCTTGACAGCTGCGAAGTACCGGAGGATGGTGGTGACCGGCAACCCAAGTAGTTTGGTGGCCCAAACCTACCAGTTCTTATCAAGGAGTGAGGGGATTCTCGCTGCCCAATAACGCCCAAACAGCCCAATAACTACATTGCAAGCCTTCAAAGGGGGGTTATTCAGAACCGAGTTTTTCGAATCTCCCTGTAGGAAAGAAGCGCAAGCTTCGACCCTTCAGACTGGGAAACCTGAGCTCACCGAGCTTCGCAATGACAGGAACGCTCGCTCGTTGAGGTCAGCGTGGTCAAGCTGTCACTGGGCCAACACTTAGTGGGGAAGCTTTTGGTTCAGGGCGGTTGAGAGTAATAATGGTAGAAACCCTATACACCCCAGACTTTCTGGGGCTTGTGTGAACTTCGAGGTTGGGGGAGAAGGCGTACTCTTATGTGCACAGTGGAGGTTTTGCACAGCTAGTGGCTTCCTTGCTTATGGTCGTCTTCTGGCATGATGCAGGTGCAGTTCATGTCACGAACAAAGGCATCGACTGGTACAACGAAAAGTGTCCACCATTTTTCCCGTAGCGCAATTGCCGCTTGTTTTTGTGGGCTGTAAGTCATATAGTTCTTGGTACACGGAGTTTAGGGGGTTCATGGCTTAAGTGTCATCACCCCAACCCCTAAACCCTACAAAAAGCGCATGCGAAACGGGTGGGAGAAAAACCCCAAAACCCCCTAAACCCTACAAAACATAGGGGTTCAGGGTTCTAAGTTGCATCAGCGCCACGCTTGGGATTCTCAGGGTGGACTTTGCCACCGCCTGCCTCATCACGGAAGTCCGGGACTCAGAACGCCCAAAGTTTAGGGTTTAGGGTTTAGGTTTAGGGTTTAGGGTTTAGGGTTTAGGGTTTAGGGTTTAGGGTTTGGTGCCTTATCACGGAAGTTCGGAGCTCAGGACACCCCAGGTTGCTGAGGGTGGAGAGAATACGACCCTTGAGGGTTCAAAGTTCAAAGTTCAGGGCTTCCTTGGGTTTATTAGGGCTTAGGGTTTAGGGTTCAGGGTTTAGGGTTCAGGGTTCAGGGTCTGCATGTGCGCCGAGCCTCAAAGTCCTTTGCTCAAAAGGGTTCAGGGTTTAGAGGAATTGCCGGGCTTTTTGTCGCACCACCCCCACTATATCGAGTGGATGCGAACCCAGATTGCTCGCATGGGGCAAACCCAAGAAGTTCATTTCGGCTGCACGAGTTTCCAAACACTTGTTTAAGATCGGTCTATACAGTAGCGCAGCATTGTTCAAACTTGGCTCATTCAACTCTGTCCCCCTTTGGCTTCGGCAGACACTACAAGCTTCTTGAACCCTCTGAGGAACCCATGACCGAGAGGGTGTCGACGCCATACTACGCCTCCCAGCGTGCAATGCAGAAGGGAGGGCTTTCGGATGTGGGTTCGGGTCTATTAACTGTCATCCCGCCCCCTCATGCCCCGTAATCCTCGACCTTACCCCAACATCGAGCTGTTATCCTTCTTCCGGCAAGTTCCTGAAGGAGTGATGCGACTACGGGCTGTCGGCTTGTACCCCAGTCGTAATCCACCTCAACATACAGAGCCGTGAAGAAGCATCCAAGCTCGGCACTTTCCTGGAAACTTCGGCACACCCAGGTGCTAGAGACTGTTTGTGTTTCTCTTTTGCTCACTTCTCAACATTATGGCCTCTGTTGGGTACTAAAGATTAGGGGCCGTCTTATCATCATGACCGGACCAGAATGTAGAGAAGTCACCAAAGATGTCGGCAGGTTTAGCTGTGTAGCTACTCAGCCACAGAATTGAGCATGGAATCAGGCATGCAAGTCAAACAAACTACCCCCCCCCCCCTGTTTAGGAGCAAGTTCCCCCCCAAACCCTAAAGCCTAAAGCCTAAACCCTCAAGTCCAACAAAGGCTTCACCTCAGGTCCACGAGGGATTGCCGCTTGGACGGCAGTTTGGAATTCTGCGGGACCCGACAAGAAGGTACCCACTTCGGAAACCCAAACTTGGATGCTAGGGAGACAGCCGCTCCCGCACAGGGATCCATCTCGCACAGCGCCTCCTTGCGGTTTGGGGCACGTACGTGACTGGCAGATTCCAGAGTGCAGTTGCAGTCCCTGTTTTGGAAGTACCTTTAAGGCCCAAGTATTCCCTATTTACGTACATGGACCCTTAGGGACTGATCAGGCCCCTAAACCCCAAACCCAAAACCCCAAACCCCAAACCCTAAACCCCAAACCCTAAAACCCGAAACCCTAAACCCTAAATCCTAACAGCCGCAGGAATCTGCAGCCACCCAAGGCTCCAAACGGTTAACTCCGTCCCAGCCACCTGCTCCCAGCATGACGTGACACGATGCCGCCCGGGAGTTGCGCGCGCTGCCGGCAGCACAAGGCGAGGCCTTGCTTTAGGGTTTAGGGTTTAGGGTTTAGGGTTTAGGGTTTAGGGTTTAGGGTTTAGGGTTTAGGGTGTCCAGGGCTCAATATGGTTTATAGGGTTTGTGGGGTTTATGGGGTTTAGGGGGCCTTGACATCACGTCTCCGTACGTGTGGAAGCTAAAGATTTGGCACAATTCCTACGTAGAAACTTAGGTTTCCTGGGGCTTCGGCCCGCGCGTGTGTGCCTGCGAGTTTGCTGCGGCCAGAGTTGTGAGGTTTAGGGTTTAGGGTTTAGGGTTTAGGGTTTAGGGTTTAGGGTTTAGGGTTTAAGGTTTAGGGTTTAGGGTTTAGGGTTTAGGGTTTAGGGAGGTGGTAGCATGGACAGATTCTGGAGACGAAGCTACGTCTCGATGTTCTCTGATCTTTCATCTATGCAACTGTTGGTTATCTCTGCGTCTTTCGTGGGAGGGTCTCCGACGAACGCCCATGGATCCGCGATCTTCTTTGCGTGTTGTGATGTAGTAGCCCTCCAAACTCTGCAAAACCAGATCTCCCGAGGAGTATGGCCACCGGGATGTGGATAGCCTCTATTGGTACTGCGAGGACTGCTGGCTCACATTTTGCGGGCGCAGACGGCGCTGTGCCGTCTGCCGCACCTTGAAGGACGAGGGCCATGTGGACCAGGCCGAAAGTGAACAGAAGATTTGAGGAAGAGAGACCGCTCCCCTTGTTTTTGTTGGAATTTGTGGAGTTTGACTTTTTGGGTCTCCAAGTCCAGTCCGTTGAGAGTTTGAATCTCCAGGTCCTGGACTACTGGTACTGCCTTCCTTGCTGGGATCGGCGTGGCCCACCACCACCTGGTTATGGCCCAGCACCTGCATACTGGCCTCCACCCCCCGGTGCTTATGCAACCATGGCATCCCCTCCGGGTGGCTACCCGCCTCCAGGAGGCTACTTGGGTTGTTTCGCAACGCTTTCCATTGACCTTAGCTACGTAGATTCTGCAAAACCTGGCAAAAGCAGAAGTGTCCGATGCATCTCCAAGGCTATCCGGGTCCGCCGCCGATCTACCCCTACCCACCCCCCCACAGCGCCCGGTCTGCGAGAAGATCGGAATCCGGGTCTCGGAGTCGATCTCGCTCGCGTGGCAAAGGGGCCCGCAGGCGGAAGCCTAGTGGGGCGGCAGGCTTCAAGAAGGACCTCTGAGTAAGAGCCAGGGTTTAGGGTTTAGGGTTTAGGGTTTAGGGTTTAGGGTTTAGGGGTCTCCCATAGAGGTAAAACTATAATAACACGGTGGAAGGGGGTGTTGATGAAAAATCAAGAACGGCACATGTGCATCGGAGGAGTTCAAGCCTTACCATGCCACCAGCGTACCGAAGGACACAGACCTTGCAGCCAACGCAACTGATGACGAGCCCCCTACAACTGCGATGTTGCGGAACATCCCCAGCAAGTTTACGCAGGTGTCGTTGTTGGAGGAGATCGACGCGGAGGGCTTTGGCGGGTTATACGACTTCTTCTACCTTCCCATGGATGTGCGAAACAAGACGAACGTGGGCTATGCCTTTGTCAACTTCTTGCAGCCGGATGATATGACGCGGTTCTCCGAGCACTTCAACGATTATCGGTTCAAGAACAACAACAGCACAAAGATCGCAGCGGTGAGTCCAGCGCACGTGCAAGGATTGAAGCGGAACATTCAGCAGCTTTCCAAAAAGGCAGTCCTCCACTTCAACAAAGGTCACTAGGTAGGCCCTTGGGATATGTTGCTATTTTCCGTTATCGGGTTTAGCAGAGGATCATATTCAGGATTTTTGTCGTCCTAAACCCTAAACCCTAAACCCTAAACCCTAAACCCTAAACCCTACAGGGGGCCATCTCCTAGGCCAATACAAGCCGGTGGTGTTCCGAAACGGTGAGCGCGTGGACTTCGAGGTCCTCGCCAAAGAGTTTGACTGACTCGGTGAGCCGAGGAACTATAGGGGTTTAGGGTTTAGGGTTTAGGGTTTAGGGTTTAGAGTTAGGGAATAATTCCGAATAGTTTTCCCTTATGGTCCCTTTATACGTATATTATAATAACCCCCAAAACCCTGGTTCTAATTAAGGCCCCCATAGTGCGGAAGTTAGGCTGCTTCGCCATACCCTAGGGCTCCAAGTATACAGTTTAACACCTACATTTGGGGGATCAAAAGTCTGTAGATCATACCTACCCTAAACCCTAAAGCCTAAACCCTAAACCTTAAACCCTCTTTGAGCGATTCAGGAGCCTTAGGGATACAGTCACAGCAATGTAGAGTCTCGGATTCCGGCCATGAAGTTCTGGGAATCAGCAACCCCCTGCAGGTATCCGTAAAACCTTGCAAGCCCCAATCTGCTCGAAGCCCTGGCCATAAAGTTCCCCCAACCTGCGCTAGCTATATACATGGTCTTTGTGTAAACTTCGCGGAAAGGCGCCGGCCTCGTTCTGAAAAGGTTCGGCGTGCCTGCTGTGCTAGGGTTGCAATGAGCCAAGTTTGCCCCAAGGTAATGCAGGCGCACAAGCCTTTGTGCCAAAGTGCCTGCTACCACAGGCTCTAAGTCCCAGACGTCCGTGTTTCTGTCACAGGGCCCAAACATCCGAGGTATACCGAAGCACTTGATGCTTGGTCATGCGACTTGGCTGGTTGAGTCAGTGCCTTCCACCTTGCCCCCGGCCTGGCCCTAGAAAAGACTGATTGTGAAGCTTCAGATTTCTTTGCGCAGCGTTCCATGGTTTCTGTGATTCGGTCAGGTGTGCAGTTGCAAAGCTGCATGCGATCACGAATATTCAGGGCCGGAAACATGCTTCTGAGGCGGCATTGTGATGTACCTTCTGCTCACAGGACCTTGCATCCACACTTTCTCTTTCCCTAAACCCTAAACCCTAAACCCTAAACCGTGTTGTTGTGTGGGGTTTTTGGGTTTGTGAGGATATAACTTCCCCAAGGTGATCCCCCTTTCTTTACGCTGGCTTCAAAAGCGCTAATCTCTTCTTTGAACAATAGTGTTGCCGGTACTAGTCCCTGCAATGTGGCCTGGGTGTCAGCTAGGCGGGTGGCCAAAAAAACACCCTAAACCCTAAACCATTTTAGGTCCTATAGTGTTACGCCCCTCTACCTGGGCGAGCCTTAGGCGAAAATCTGAGCATCGATTCGCGGCAAGCACCCAACCCTGGGAAACCATGTGCAGAGGAAACTGCTATGTGATTTTGCATAGAACAGTACTATGAGTACGAACATTCATATTCGGATATTTATATGCATACGCTCATTCACAGCAATGTTCTGTGATCATACTACGGCTCTTGGATAAGGAAGCGCAGGGCGGAGGACCCTAAAATCCCCAACCCTACTGCCGTCGTAAGCTGAAGAGCATCCTAGGCTCAAGACTTGTCTGGAGGATACCCTGGGTTTAGGGTTTAGGGTTTAGGGTTTAGGGTCTAGGGTCTAGGGTTTAGGGTTTAGGGTTTAGGGTTTAGGGTTTACGGTCTAGGGTCTAGGGTTTAGGGTCTAGGGTTTAGGGTTTAGGGTTTAGGGTTGCTTGTCTGGAGGATACCCGCGCAAGGCGAAGGCTGCCAAAGAGAACCCCAACATGCGCGGGGACGACTTTTTGCCGCTCGACTCATGTGGGGAGGTTCCGGGCCTTCATCTAGACTTTACCCGCAACGCACAAAGGTCGGGTTTAGGGTTTAGGGTTTAGGGTTAGGGGTTTTAGGGTTTAGGGTTTAGGGTTTAGGCTGAGTCCCGAAGAAAGGGCCTGAGCCCCGCCTGCCCAGGAAGGCGCTGACGAAGGGCAAGATACACAGCATGCAGGACTCGGGCGCAGGGTTGACCATGATTGAGGGTTGTTTCTGTACTGGTTCTTCGCAGGGAGTTTGGGAACATGTGCCCTCTGTTGCCCTTGCATCTCCTTCACACTTTCGATAGAGGTTGATATTGTACCCAAATTACTCATGAATAGCTCAAGTATTTCCCTGCTCAGAACTAGTAAGACATGCGGGCCCTACTTTGAGGTTCATGGTACTTATTAACCAAGTATAACTGTACTTATAACTGTACCCATGAACCAGTAGGGATGAGGGTCCCATGCCCATCGTGCTGTGAAGGTGAACATCTGTGCTGAATCTAGTTCGAGAAGAGCTAGCCGACCCTGGTTCATGATTTCACCACAATCCTGAAAAGCCCTTTGGTGGGCCCATCAGTTCCCACCACGATATATTCGTGCGCCTCCCAATGAAAATCTTGCCCGCAGGAACGAGGTGAGCACATCTCGCGAGAGGCCAACCATCTGCTGGACAACTTGCCTCTCGACTCAACACGCCCAGTCTATGCAGAGCTTAGGGCCCAAGATGTTCTCAATGGCCGGAGGTGTATGATTGTCTATCGATTCTGATGACCGGACTTGTTGCACCTTGCATGTCGCAGCTGGACGACTTGAATGTTGGAGCGCTTCCACTATAGGTTCCGTGCAAGACTTGAGGTCCCAACAAAGGTCTGGGAATCTTTGCGGTTTAGAGTTGAGGGTTCAGAGTTTTACGGCTTAGGGTTTAGGGCTGTTTCACCAAGCTCAAACTACAGTGCCATCCACACACTACTGCTGGCTTGAGCAACGTCTGGGACGTTCACCTCCGCCCGAATGCCTGACTGTCCCACAGCCTCTAGCCATCACATGGATCAGCAGTCTGTATAATATAGGGGTCGGAAGAATAATATTCCCTTATGGTCCCTTTGAAGAAATATACTATCATACCCTATTCTAATCATTCAGGCTCCTACATTATGTTCCGGCTTACCAAGGCTTCTGACCGCAGAGGAGCACCGGATCACCCCTTCAAGGGCCGACTCCTGGCTGCACAGCAAAAGAGACTTTCGCCAGACTCTAGACTGACCTGACCTGGGAACAAAGACCAAGCTTTGTACAAGGATAGCCCTAACTAGAGCCAATTAGAGCCCACAGCCCCCAAGCCGTAGACCCTAAACCCCAAGCCTTCGCCTGCTTGCAGGGGTGACAAAAAAATTGAGCGCTCGAGCCCTCGGACTCGATGTGAGAGAGCGCCCCGCTGTATCACCAGGACACGTGAACCAACCAACCGAAGCTTTGCCGGCCTTGTGGGAGTGTGAGAGTCGAAACTGGGGATGATCCCCCTTATACTAACAGTCCTTAATTGGGATGACAGAACACCGTATTATAATATTGAGGACTGTCAGCATAAGGTGGAACCTCCCAAGTCGAAACCCTTAAGTACTCGGACATAGCTCCCTGATCCAAGCTTCGGAACTACTGGCTCCTCAGTCACGCACCGCAGCCGGGACCCCAGTTGCAGGTATGTGCTCAGTCCCAGGCAGGGCCTTGAAGGTTTTTGGGCTTAAGGTTTCGGGTTTAGGGTTAAGGCTTTAGGGGTGGTTTAGGGCCTTTTGAGGGCTTAGGGCTGCAAGGGCCTTTAGGGGAAGGGCGATGAGCCAGGCAGTGGCATAGCGCCGGTTCAAGAAAAGAGCGATGAGTCAAACCCGAACGTGCATGTGCTGCGTTGGCAAGTAGTGTGAGCTCAGCGCAAGAGACGGAAGGAATCTGCAACTGACATCTCTTGAGAACCCTAAGAAGGTTTCTTATCGAAACAGTTCGCAACACATCACCCAGCCCTGGCAAGAGCTTTGCGTGCAGCGGGAGCGTGGCCAGGCTAGCGTCAAGCATAGAGTGCGGGGTTCAGGGTGTTGCTTGGGACAGAAGGGGGGGGGGGGGGGGGGCGATGGGTTGCACCGGAGGGGTCTTCTGAGTCTGCTGATGTCTAGAGCGCAACAAGTACCGAAATGGTGGGGACCCAGCCGGAGGCGAACAGAAATCCCGAGGAAGCGGTGATTAGATTACAGACTCCCCAACGTGGGTACTTGTGAGCTTGGAGTCATATGATCTGAGCTGATCATGGGTTTAGGGTTTGGGGTTTTAGGGTTTAGGGTTGACCCTAAACCCTAAACCCTAAACCCTAAACCCTAAACCCTAAAAATTGTTTAGAGAGCTCCCTGAGGCATGCGCCCAGTCAAGAGAATGATGAACGTGCAGCCCGAGGTTGGTCAGTTGAGGGCTTGTTTAGTGCGAGGTTGGGTTTAGGGTTTAGGGTTTAGGGTTTAGGGTTTAGGGTTTAGGGTTTAGGGTTTAGGGTTTAGGGTTTAGGGTTTAGGGTTTAGGGTTTAGGGTTTAGGGTATTGCCCACTGCAGACCCTTCCTAAAGAAGGCAAAGGTGCAGCATTTGGGGTTCCAGGCGTTTGGGCTAGAGGTTGGTGTGTCACGGGCTCTTTGGGAACACATTTTAGGGTTGAGGGTTGAGGGGTTCTGGTCTTCGTCCCAAGGGTTTCATACGGTTTAGACGGTTTTGCTCGCCGCCGATGGTCATGAGGAACTCTGCCCGCGTTGACCAAAGCAAACGACGAAGTGGGGGTTTCCGAAATAATTCAGGGCCACCTAATTGAGGTCCTTATTTCTAAGGGGATCCTCCTATTGGGGGGTCTATTTTGGGGGTCCCCTATTGTCGGAAACCCCCCAAGTGAAGACTGAGTCGATCGCATCGTTGGTGTTGGTCTCTCTCTTGTTGTGGGCAAAGGTTTGGTTTCCTGTTGTGTTAAAAGCCACCGGAATGGACTGCTAGGTAGGACCTTGGGACATTTGTTGGTTTCCCTTTTTGTGGTTTAAGAGGATCATATTGAGTGAGAGAGAGAGAGAGAGAAGAGGATCATATTCAGGAGTGTTTTTCAGAGGGTTTTCAGGGCCATCTTAGATTGATGTTTTTGGGAGCATACTCAGGTGTGAAAATTTGGGGCTCTTTTAACGTAAAGATAGGGCCCGCAATCTTAGCGTCGAGAGAGAGAGAGAGAGAGCGAGAATCTTATCGTCGAAGCTCATGAGCAGAGGGGCCGCTCATTGAGCCCTAACCAACCTAAACCCTAAAC